CTCCATTCGTGCCTCTTCAAATTCTGCAGCACTGCTGGTCACAGCTGGAACGCTCACAGTCCAGGGCTTCCCAGTTCTCAGTGTCTATGTCAGAGTTTTTAAGGTTGGCTTTGAGCCCATCTTTAAATCTCTTTTCCTGCCCGCCAACATTCCATTTTCCATTCTTGAGTTCAGAGTAGAGCAACTGCTTTGGGAGACGGTGGTCAGGCATCCAGACAACAGGGCCGGTCCAGCGGGGTTGATGGCGGACCACTTCAATGCTGGTGGTCCTTGCTTCTTTCAGCATGCTAACATTTGTCCGCTTGTCTTCCCAAGAGATTTGCAGGATTTTCCGGAGGCAGCGCTGATGGAATCATTCTAGGAGTTGCATGTGACGTCTGTAGACAGTCCACGTTTCACAGGCATATAGCAGGGTTGGGAGGACAATAGCTTTATAAACAAACACCTTGGTATCCCGGTCCTCAAACACTCTATCCTTCATTCGGAAAAATGCTGCACTCGCAGAGCTCAGGCGGTGTTGTATTTCGGTGTCGATGTAGACTTTGGTGGAGAGGTGGCTGCCATGGTAGTGGTAATTGTCAACATTTTCTAATGTTACACCGTTAAGCTGTATTTCTGGCATTGAAGAGGGATTGGCTGGTGAATGCTGGAAGAGCACTTTGGTTTTCTCGATGTTCAATGACAGGCCAAGCTTCTCGTATGCTTCTGGCCAAGCTTCTCGTATGCTTCTGCGAAGGTGTTTAGAGTAGCTTGTTGGTCTTCTTCTGAATGCGCACAGACGCTGTTGTCATCAGCATACTGGAGTTCTAGAACAATGTTGTTGTAACCTTGGTTTTGGCTTTCAGTCTGCTGAGGTTAAATAGCTTGCCATCTGTCCGACAGATGATTTCCACTCCGGTGGGAAGCTTCCCGTCAACAAGATGAAGTATTATAGCAATGAAGGAGAATAAAGTTGAGGCAATAACACACCTCTGTTTGACACCTGATTCCACCTTAAATGGGTCACTTTGGGAGCCACTACTGTTCAAGACTGTTGCCTTCATGTCATCATGGAGGAGCCGCAGGATGTTCACAAATTTGTTAGGGCACCTGATTTTCTGGTGGATGGTCCAGAGAGCGCTGCAATTCACTGTGTCGAATGCCTTTGCAAGACAATGAATGGCATGTATAGTGATTGATTTTGTTCCCTGCATTTTTCATGGAGCTGTCGTGCAGTGAAGATCATGTCCACTGTTCCGCTGGAGGGGTGGAAGCCGTTCTGGGATTCTGGGAGGGTGTCTTCTGAGAGGGGTAGAAGGCGGTTTGCAAGGATTCTTGTGAGGATTTTCCCAGCTGAGATTAGAAGGGAGATACCTCGATAGTTTCCACAGTCTGTTCTTTCCCCTTTTTTTGAAGAGGGTGATAATGGTGGCATCCTTGAAATCTGCTGGGATTTTCTCGGTCACCCACACTTTTTCTATGAGCTGGTGGAGTTGTTGTGTCAGCTCAGGTCCTCCCTCTTTAAAGATTTCAGCAGGGATCCAATCAGGTCCGCTGGCTTTGTTATTTTTTTGTTGGCTGATGGCATTGCTGACTTTTTCCAAACTAGGCAGTTCTGCAAGCTCATCCCTGGTTTGTTGTTGTGGGATTTGTGAGAGAACCTCTTCGGCTGCATTTCTCCTTTCTGGTGGACACGTTTGAAGGAGGGAAAGGAGGGACAAGCCGTGGAGTGTGTGCAGGCATTCACATTAAGGAAGCATGCTGTAAATTATGTGAAAGAAGATCTTCATTTGATAATTACAGGGGTTATCTTATAGATAGAGAGTTAAAAATAGATAGAGATGTGAGATTTTGATCCTAATAACACACTCCTATGTTATATTAATATTTACGTGGCTTATGTCCAGGATACCTTTTATTATATCAAATATCGACATCCTTATAAGTCAGTGTTTTAAAATAGATGACAGTCTCTTGGCAAGTTCATGGTTGAGAAAGTACAAAGGGCAGGCAGGATGTGAATAAAGAGGAAACAACTATAGTTATCAGTCGCTGTCACACACTAGTGTTGGCTGCTTTGGAAGTATGCTGCATTAGAATAACTATATTTAGCACAATCATTAGACCATCTCTCTCCTGGTATGTGTCTGTATATTTCAGGCTGATCTAAAACCCAGCCAGTGTATACTTTAGTTGTTTTTTCTGTATCTTGTGGTCACTGTGACATATACTCCAATAAAAGGACACTTTATTGCATGTTTGGCCAAATAGATTAGTTCATCTTTCATTGCTTTCAAGACGGCTGGAAAATGTTGGGAAAGTCCTGGAGACAGCAGTGGGTAAGAGTTTATTATAATATGAGAAGCATTTCATCAAGGACATTAGACTAAGGCAACATTTTAGTACTGTGCGACGATAACCAAGGAAGAGAGGAGAAATTAGTCTCATAATATGGTATGTTGTGATTATATGTATTGGTCAGTTTGCTTTGTATTACAGTACATTGTATTTTTGTATTTTATCTGAATAACTTGTTTTACAATTGTATCATACAGTTTTATATTTTGTTCTTTCCCTCTGCATGTGTACATTTAAATGTGTATAAATCTGGATTTCCTGATCAAAAAAGTCAACACCACAAAATCTGAGTCAATGTAATGTATAGGTCGATGTTAGTACTTCTCATGGCACCACTTCTGCTCTTTCAAAATGCCTGGGTAAGAAAATGGCAGCATCTCTTTGGCACTATGGCAGAGAAAGTAGAGGGGTACTGTGCTTAATCGGTTCTTCTCTTTCTCTCTGGACTGCTTGAAATAGAAAAGAGGTGGTTTACTCGCAAGTATGAAAATAGAAGGTCATTCTTTCCCTTGTTGCCCAGGCTGCCTGCCATCTCACCTATTGCTCACGCTGCTGCTGTCCTTTCCTTGTTTGGTGAGATCCAGTGCTCCTGCTCCTCTTCTGGATTTTTCTCTGGCTCTGGTAGCAGTAGCAGTAGCATTCTTCTTTCCTTGAGTTTCTGGGTGGCAAGATGCCCATGATGGGTTAAAGGGCAGGCTGTAATGGTGACATCCAGGTTCCATAGCAGCGGTGGTGGCAGCTCTGTCATGTTGCCACCTAGGAGTTAGAGGAGAGAAATGCACAATGCTGCTAGAGCCAGAGAAAGAGTTAGAACAAGAGTGCAAGCATGGGGCATGGGGCACCACCTGCAGCAGCAACAGCAGGCGAGGCAAGGTGAGGAGACTGATCTTCCAGTTGCTTATTTGTGAATAAATCACCAACTGGGCTTTATCCCAGGAGAAAAACAAGAAAGACACAGGTAAAGCAACAGATGTTATAAACATCGAACTTTATATCAGGTGGGCCTTTTTGAATTCCTGAACAGGGAATGATGACAGTAGCCAGGGGTCATATCCACAGGCCATAAAAAATCCATCATTTTTGCCCACAAACCTGCCCTTGTCTTATGCCTATGGATGACTTATACACAAATATATATGGTTGAAATATTTTAGATAGTACACCTCTGGTAGGATTAAATGATTTTGCTTGTTTTACCTCCATAGTGGTATGTAAATTTAAAAAAATAACGGTAACAGTACAAGTATTATTAAATGCTTATATTGAAATGATACATCTCAACAATACATTTCAAAGGCAGGGACTCATATTGTGATGGTATCAAAAAAAGAAAGTAACTTTGTCTAAGGCAGGTATGGATAGTCATCTGTAAACTGGCTTGAATTGGACCTGCCTTAATTCTGCTTCCAAAAATGCCTAGTGGCCTTTTCCAATTCTGATCTATAGAAGTTTCCAATCTGACAAAGGCTTAAGGTGGTCATGCTTCTATATAGATGCCCATGAAATGCTAGTGGAAATGATGGTTCTACTAAACACCATACTTTCTCAATAAATGCTGGATTCTATCTCTTGGTAAATTGCAGCCAGTTTTTAAAGGAACACTTATTTTAGCATGTGAATATTTTAAACATTTTTAATCACTTTATAAAATGTCAGAAATCAGAAAGCATAAAAGTTACTGTATTTCAAATAAAATGTTGCTGTTCAAAAATGGTATATAAGGAAAAAAAGATTGGTGGTTGACTGTTTTAATTCCTTGTGTTTGTCTTAGCATTTATTACCTAAAATAGTGATAAACTGAGGGTTTGTAGTTATGGTTTTTGAAGTCCTCCAGTACATTTGCAGGGTAACTTCAATGTAGATTATACAGGCTGATTGACACATTATATGGCTTATAGCATTTATGCTGCCAAATAAACTAATTTAAAGCCATAGATAAAGTGCACAAGATATAATTTATGGATTTCTTGAAGTGTTTATTTGACTATTCAAACCCTTACCATTATTTCTTTTCATATATGGGAACAAATGGTCATGGTGGTATTTGGAGGTCATTCGGTTTTTTGTAATCTCCACAAACCATATAACATTATTGTATAGAGGGCCTGTGTGCACACATACGCTTAAACACTATAGCAGATTTAGAGTTTTACAGAATAGACATGTATGTACAGTATTCCTTTATTTGAAAAAGAAGAAGCGAAAAAAAATGTCTACAGCAAGGCAATCCAGTTGTGTAGTGGTGATAGTTGTGTATGTGTGAAGATACACAACAGAAATAATTTTTCAGGAACAGAATAGAAATCAAGGCTTGTTTAGAAAAGATAGTGGTCATTTAGGAAGTCCTCAATTTCTTTCTCAATTGTATTTCTCTGTGGGACAATAAGTTATTTTAGTTTCTTCAGTATCTTGTAAAGAAGTTTGATTTTAGTAGAAACTCAAACTCTAATATAGCAGACATCCTTTGTCATTTTCCTTTCTGTTTTGGTAGGGAATCTTTAGTGTCACAACATAGTTGGACTGTAATTTCCATCATCCCAAAACATTAACTATGCTGAGTGGAACCAACAAGAGATATTGTCAAACATCATCTTGGTGGCCACAGTTTTCCTAACTCTATCCTTTAACCTCACAGATATGTACATTATTCTCTTCCTTTACAGGTTATTACTCCATGTCGGAAGCTCATCTTGTGTGCTGATAACAGAAAAGAAATGGAAGACTGGATTGCAGCACTGAAGACTGTACAAAACCGTGAACATTTTGAGGTAACTGGTTAGGGATAGATATAGATTGATTCTTCATGCTATTATGCAGTCCCATCTTCAACATATATATTGTGAAGAGTTTGTATAGGATTCAGCAGTATGATCAGAGTATGGCAAATTTACTTGTTTGGCTGTCGTTTTCAGAATACCCAGCCAACATTAACTGTGATCAGGCTGTAGGGTTAACAATTTGAAAATTAGTATTTCCAAGCTCTAGGTATTATTCGTATTTTGTGGTCAGTTGACATGAAAACCTGTGTCCTAGCAGTAAAAATAATGATTTTTTAAAATAGTGAATATGCTTTTTGACTCATGAGTCATACAAGATAGAAAAGAAAATGTTTCAATTTCTCATGAATGGATATTACTACATAACATACAATACTAAAATTGTGTTCAGTAAAAGGAGGATATGGGATTGCATTCCAGAAGCAGTATTTTTTTTTTTGTGAAAACCACAAAACTATGAAACTATTATTAATTCTGGTTTGTGTATTTGTTCCAGCAGGCTAATTCATTATAGGAATTTATTCAAAATACAAATAGGAAGTCCCCATGATAACTCTTTCAGTATTGAATTTCCCTTTCTAGGGGTAGGTTTCGTCACTTCCTGTTGCCTCATCCCCATTCTTAACTGTGAGTCAGATGTTTATAACTCGGGGACTGCCTGTAAATATATTTTATACTCCTCTCTGAGAGGCAGTGTAATGTAGCAGTTTGAGTGATCCCTGCTCAGCCATAGAAACTCACTGGGTAAACTGGCAAGTGCCAGTCTCTCCGCCTCAGAGAAAGTAAGGGATATCTCCGAAGAAATCTTGCCAATAAAACCCTGTGATAGAATCACTATAAATCTGAAGGCATACTACATTTTTTTCTCAAGGCAGTTACTAAAAGTAAAGGAATAAGTAAAACAAAGAAATTAACTCAAAACAGGCTTACATAAATGTACAGTTAAAATGTTGGCAACACGTATAATCATAATACGTAACTTAGTAAAATTAAATTTGTGTTGTGAGTTTTCCGGGCTATATGGCCATGTTCCAGAATCATTCTCTCCTGGTGTTTTGCCTGCATTAGAAGTTGTGAGGTCTGTTGGAAACTAGGAAAATAAGGTTTATATATCTGTGGAATATCCAGGGTGGGAGAAAGAACTGTCTGTTTGAGGTAGGTGTGAATATTTCAATTGGCCACCTTGATTAGCCTTTAATGGTCTAGCAGGTTCAAGGTCTGGCTTCTTATTGCCTGAGGGAATTCTTTGTTGGGAGGTGATTAATTGGCCCTCATTGTTTCTTGTCTGGAATTCCCTAGTTAGTATTCCTGAAAAGCAGCTACTTAAAAATAGTGTCTCACATTTATTTTGATGTCTCTTAGGAAGATCATCATAGGTTTTCTATCAATTCATTTTCAGTCAACTCAATACAGTATGGACCATTTCTCAGGGATGCATAACTGGTACGCTTGTTCCCATGCTCGACCAACATACTGCAACGTCTGTCGGGAGGCATTGTCTGGGGTCACATCCCATGGACTTTCCTGCGAAGGTAACTTTTCTTCAAGATAGCTGGCTTGAACATAAAATTATGGTAGGCATTCCAAAAATATATTATTCAAAAATCAGTGTTTGGTTTTAGCTGTCCAGTCTCTTGTCCAATGTCAAACCTTGATATCTGGCAAGTGAAATGGGCTGTTTCAAAACTTTAGCTTGTTCACAAATGCAAATTGTAAAGAGTTATATCAAAATAAGTTTAACGGGGATAGAGAATTAAACTTCTTAGGGTCTAATCCTATATTTATTTTGCATCAGGATTCCTGTAAACTTATGAAAATTGGGGACTATATGCATGATGCATGAGATGGATATGTGTAGAGACTACATGCTGGGAACGTCTAGGGCTAAGTAATATGTACTGGGCTATTTACTGGAATTAGTTTTCAGGGGCTGCTTGAAGAAGTTCATTGATTCTTCATTCATTTCTGAAAAGCAAGCATAATCCTACATCAGTCTGCCTCTGTACTAAGGTTGTCTTCAGACAGTCTCTGCCAAGTGTTTCTGAGCTCTGAAATGAGATATAAAGGGACAAAGCTTTAAGATGGTCAGTAATATCACGGAAGTAGAACAATTTAAGTCCCTAATGCTATTTTGAAGTGTTCTAGAAGAAGGACTTGCCATGTAAGAATAAGGGAGGGGGGGGGTTCTGCAGGTATCCAATATTATTATTTTGTGCTATGACTACTATAGTGTTCTAGATTTTTTTTTAGTAATGTGTGTATTTATTTGAAATAAACAGTATCTTAAGAATATATTTAAAATGTATCTTTTTTAAAAAGTTGAATTATTGGATTCATCTATTTTCTTTTCTCCCTTTTCAGTGTGCAAATTTAAAGCCCACAAGAGATGTGCTGTCCGGGCAACTAATAACTGCAAATGGACAACGCTAGCTTCTATCGGAAAGGATATCATTGAAGATGAAGATGGGGTATGTATGAAACCATTTGTTACGTGGAAAAGATTAGCAAAGATGTAACTAGCATGTTTTATCTAGTTCTGCTAAGATTATCTGTAGCGTACAAGTAAGACATGAGAGAACAGCTCTCCCCTCTGGCATGCATTATAGCAGCTTAGCAGTGAAAGAGGCAAAGATGCTTTTTAAACTATCTGCTGCCATTCAAATGGTTCTCATAGTGATACTGTAAATAAATAAATTTCTAATTTGCTTGCTTTGCAGATTTCAATGCCACACCAGTGGCTTGAAGGAAACCTACCAGTGAGTGCCAAATGCACAGTATGCGATAAAACCTGTGGCAGTGTCCTGCGCTTGCAAGACTGGCGCTGTCTCTGGTGCAAAGCTATGGTGAGTTGAACAGTTCTTTTGTTGTGTGTGGGCAGAGAAATACTTTTTTTCACTTACTTTTACCAAACATCGTTGCTCTCATTAGTTTTATGAAATTACATAAGCCTTGTTCAGTGTGCAAGTAATGTATAACTTTATTTTCTGAAATTTGAAAGCTATTCACTAGATAAACCAATTTGTGTGTGAATTTAATATTACCAAAGTAAAGTGCCTTGGGCCTTTGGGAAATAGCAAACTCTGTTTTCTGCCAATACAATTTTATGTAATGGTTTTATTATTTAATTTCACCCATTCTTGTTTACTTCTTAATAGTCATACTTGTTAACAATTTAACAAATCCAGTTTTTGACAGTTCTTGCTTGATTTAATCATCCAGTCTAGCAAGACACATAATTAATTGATTTGCATAAAAAGTAAGGATTTATATGTCAACAGAGAATCCAGATTTGTAAGTGTCTTCTAACCAACATTGTAAGGTTAAGAATGGTTTGCATATAACAGTTTTTAATAAGGTGGGAATGAGTGGCCATGAACTCCCCTGTGATCCAGCTTTGGGACTTCACTCATATTTGGTGTTTTACATTAAGTCTGAAATAGCAAAATCTGGTTTAATCTACACTTTTGGAGCCCCCGGTGGCACAGTGGGTTAAAGCACTGAGCTGCGGAGCTTGTTGACTGAAAGGTCGCAGGTTCGATTCCAGGGAGCGGCGTGAGCTTCTGCTGTCAACCCTAGCTTCTGCCAACCTAGCAGTTTGAAAACATACAGATGTGAGTAGATCAATAGGTACTGCTCCGGCGGGAAGGTAACGGCGTTCCATGCAGTCATGCCGGCCACATGACCTTGGAGGTGTCTGTGGACAACGGCGGCTCTTTGGCTTAGAAATGGAGATGAGCACCACACCCCAGAGTCAGACATGACTGGACTTAATGTCAGGGGACAACCTTTACCTTTTTACCTACACTTGAAAGGCAGTGTTTTTATTGAAGTTTGGAGATGCAGGATGAAAGGCAATTTTCTATTTTAGATATAACACAAAATTATGATTTTTAAATCACAGTTGAAGCAGAAGCAAAAAAGAGGCAAAATGGGAATGTACAACCCACAACTCATACTTGATTTAATTAAACATAGCTAGTAATAAACCAAAACGTGTACTTCCAGACCAGTCCAAAATATAAGCCTAAAGTTTCTAGATCTTAATTTTCTAAGTGCATATACTCCAAGACATTAAATATTTAAATGAACTTTGTGAACCTTGTGTGCTCCTGAATCCTTTCAAGTTTTTACCAATCTCTTAGTCTTTCAAATAGCAGAATGGAAGCAAAATATTTCTGTACTAAGGATGCTTAGAAAACTTAGCTGTTATAATTTCATTGTTCCAGGTACATACCTCGTGTAGAGACTTGTTACCAACCAAATGCCCTCTAGGCCTTTGTAAGGTATCTGTCATCCCTCCTACAGCTCTCAACAGCATTGATTCAGATGGTAAGTATTAATTAATGGTTTTTACACTTTTCCTATTTTGTAATTTAGGCATAAATACAACAAGCTACCATTTTAATAAGACAAGTGATATGAATTTGATAACAGCTTCCCTCCCCCTCCCATTGCGCCTTTTCTTTCGTTAAACTTGCAAGAGGACTGGGCTGTAAATTTGCAGAAATCAAAGAGTTAACCACAAGGATATAATTTGAATTTTTACAGTACTATTTTCTGGATAATATTGTAGTGCTCAATATATCCTGTATACTAATGGTGAGTATACATTCTCTGAGTGTGGATCTTTCCGTAGGCAAGTAGCATTATTTTCTACACACAAGAGGTTTCTAGAAGCAGTACTTAAATTTACAGAATTGTTAAGGTAGCAGAACATTAAATAGCAAACCCAAATTACTCTATTGAGGAATTAGCATGCTCAGTAGTTGTTAAATACTGTTTGACTGTTAGGAGAGAGGAGGAAGCTGGAAAGCAGATTTTCAGAAAGAGGATGCAGTTGAATATCTTTGAAGTAGCATAGTTAATTGGAATTTTGAACAAAATTGGTCCATGTTGCAGTGCTTTATGGCTTGTTCCACTTGTATTTTCTATCATATTTAGCCAAAATCATTCATATTTATAATATATTAAAACGACTATGTTGTTTAGTATAGTATATTGCCTAAATATTACTAGTACGCTGAAGAATGTAATCCTCTGGTAAGATAATTTATTGCTTCTCTGCTTTTGCTTTTTCCACTTAGGTTTCTGGAAAGCCACATGCCCCCCCTCTTGCACAAGCCCTTTGCTAGTATTTGTCAACTCAAAAAGTGGAGATAACCAGGGTGTAAAATTTCTACGACGATTCAAACAACTGCTGAATCCCGCACAGGTCTTTGATCTCATGAATGGAGGGCCTCACCTCGGGTAACAATAATAATAATAATAAACCTTTATTTGTACCCCGCTACCATCTCCCGAAGTACTTGGTGTGGCTTACAAGAGGCCGAGCCCAAATACAATAGTAAAACAACAGCAACAACAAATAGCAAAATAACTCAAAAAACAAAGCAATAACATTAACAACACACAATGATGCAATTAAAATCAATGGCAGGGCCAAATGTAATAATTAAAATTAAAAGTGGTGGGCATGATAAATTAAAAGTGCTGGGTAAGATATGTTCTTTTCCTGGATGATTTATTTATTTATTATTTATTTAGGGCTTTTATATCCCATCCTATCTCAACCTCCTCAGAGGGACCAAGGACGGCTAACAAAGCGGCACCACATGCCTGCCAATCATTAAGAGAAAAGTCCATTCTGCTTCTAAACTCGCCCAGTTCTTCCAACATTAGTGACAGATAGAACCCCACATTTTTGCTGTCTTTTAACACAAAAAAACTTGATCAGGTGTACCTGGGTAATAAAATGTCTCCAGTGGGTCCACTCAATTCAGATTGTGAGATATAAGGTACAGACCTCAGATTGTACACTTCTGAACTGTACACTTCAACCCATTCACATCTACTGTAGTAACATTTTAGAAAACTCCTTAAATTTCAGAAAACTCCTTAAATTTTTTTTGTTTTTATATTAAATAATGTTTATAGTTTTGAAAAAATAATATATTTTTAAAAAAACAAAACAAAGATTAATGCTTCAATACCAAAAAACCTTGAGTCTGTGTGGCATTAATTATCAATTGTGTCTGTGAATTTAACAATTCAAGAAAATCACTGCTAGTTGTTGAAAAGCCAGTGTGTCTATCCATTCTGGCAAATCACCCTCAATTACAGAAAGAGATGCTAAACAAACCATAGACAGATGCATTGTTACTAGTGTTACTAGTGATGCAAGCAGTCCTAATAGGACTCTGGCTATATCTCTTTCATTGAGCAAGATAATTAATCTTGACTTTTGGGGAGCGAACCAGGGTGAAGAACTGTTTAATAAAAAAGCTATAGATGGCACCAAAACACTGCTCATCTTCAACAAGCCAGGATTCCATGGAATGTTGATTTGCTTGTGATGTTCAAATGTGTCCATTCAGATTAATTTGACAAGTAATGTCAGTCTTCATTATCCTTATAAAAAAAGCATTAGATTCAAATGGCAAGCTGTACTTCCATTTTTTAAATTTCATGTTTGATAATAAATCTACATTTTTCCCTCTTCAGTTTACGTTTATTCCAGAAATTCGACACCTTCCGAATTCTGGTTTGTGGTGGGGATGGAAGTGTTGGATGGGTACTCTCTGAAATTGACAGCCTCAGTCTCCATAAACAGGTATTTCCAAGTTCCATATTTTTCTGTATATGGAATTTATTTGTAACAATAAAAAGCAAAATAGATTCTTATTAAATATAATTTTGCATATAAAAATAAAATAAATATCTGTGTCTGAAAGTATAGTAAAGTTTAAATGGTAAGGCAGGGTTTCTTAGGTTAGTATTTCTCATTTACAATAAACTGGCAGATATCAAGGCAGATAATCCACAATATCTGCTTTGGACTGGATTATCTGAGTCCACACTGCCATATAATCCAGGTCAGTGTGGATTTTATACAGCTGTGTGGAAGGGAGCCTTGTTGAAATGAATGTGTTCTTCAAAATGGCAATAGCGCCACTTAGTGATAAACTGAAAAACTGAACACTGACCAGCAGTTAAACACCAGGCCACTAACGACAGTGGTTTTCTGTCGTTAAAACAAGGCTATGATACTTTGAGAATACTTCTAATTCTCTTGAGTGTTATTCAATAAGCATCAAAATAAGCAGAGCAAAATTACAAATGGATTTGTAAATGTGTGAGAGAATGACAAATAAATTCTCAAATAGGGACACAGGAAAGGGTACACAGAGTATATATTCTTTTTGAAATTTCTGGTTGTTAAAAGACAAAAAGAAAATGTTGAAAAAGGAAAAATTTGAATGATAGCTCTTTCTTTTAATACTCTGCTTTATCACCTTGATTTTCCTTAACTTTCTTACATTGACAAAGCAAGAATCTGGGTTAATGTGGAGAAGGACTTCTTTTTAACTGTTCCTACTTTTTATTTTACCTTTCCTGTGTATAGTGTCAGCTGGGAGTATTGCCTCTAGGCACAGGCAATGATCTTGCTCGTGTTCTAGGCTGGGGATCTGCTTGCGATGATGACACCCAACTCCCACAGATACTGGAAAAGCTGGAAAGGGCCAGTACCAAAATGCTTGACAGGTAAGGGCTACTTCATGATATCAGTCTGAATCTAAAGGTCTGCTTAATAATAATAATAATAATAATAATAATAATAATAATAATAATAATAATAATATATTTCTAGACTGCCCTCTCTCCCTGAAGGGACTCGGGGTGGTTTACACACAAAAAAGACAAACATTCAAAAGGCAGTCTTCAGGGAAGATTCATTCTTACTGCTATGGGTGAAACATTTAGATCCTGCCTTACATTTTTGGATGCTATATGAGTAAAATCTGTGGCATAATGTAAAATAAACCACATGTAGTTCACATTGGATCAGCTCACACATTGCCTTGCCAGGGAAAAGAAAATATGCCAGGCAGTTGAATAGTAAAGAACAAGTAGTTTATTCTTCTTAAATCAGAACAACATATGTGCAATATGATCAGTTGCACCAACTCACTAAATGTCCTTTCAGGGAGATTTTAAATGGTATTTCTTTGTCCATATGAAATACGTTCTTTGCAGCAGCCAAGAAGCAAGTCAGTCTGTCTCTCCCCTTCTATCTTCCAACTGTCTGAACACCAGCCTGCTTGAGCCTGAACAAAATTGCAACAGTATCTAAAAGTTCTAGCCACAGCTATCACCCCATGTGTTCCCCGCCCAATCGGCTTCATGCACTTTATTTTGCAGTTCACACACACTCACTGCTTGCTTGCGTGCTCTAACAAAATCAACATAAACAGATTAAAATAAAGCCGTACAAATAATTTAAATAAATTGAACACACATTAGACAAGTTGACAAGTTAAAAACAAACTAAAAAGACTGAAAGGATTTAGAACCACTTAAACATTTTGGAGTAAATTACTTAGGCTTCAATGGCTATATTGAATAGGCATGTTTTTTCTTGTCACTTTAATGAAGCGAGCATTAGTCCTGACAAGCTACCAAGGGGAACACCTTCCACAGTCAGGAAGCCACAGCTGAGAACACTTTTAACTTCAATATCCCTCATTGATAGGTCAAATCAGGCTTCCCCTAAGCTCTGTGTATAGCACTCTTGTTGGAGCCATATGTTACATTAATATCTTTTGTTTTATAGATGGAGCATTATGGTGTATGAAACCAAACTCCCTCGTCAAGCATCAGCTTCTATAGGCACTGAAGATTTCAATGAAGATTCTGAGGTAAACAGTTTAAAAATGTGGGATAAGGTTGGGGAAGGGTTCAAAATTAGAAATGTCCAGTGTCACCAAATTAAAACAGGAAAGTGATATATGGACAAGATCTCCTAAACTACGGAAGAACAAGAGCTTTAGAGCATAGGTGGGCAACTGTGTAGAGGTTGAAGACAATTTTTCCACTCTGTGCCCAGAGTGATGCAGTAGCATATCCAGATGCCTTTTTGGGTAACTTGGATTTGGATGGCTAGGTGGCTTTCGAGGATTGGGGAAAGCAAACAGCTGTGTTTTGGCACCGTTTTGGGACAAAAAATACTGCCTGAAAATCAGCATGATTAAAAAATAATTCTGAGAACTTGAGGGAGGGGGAGACTTCTGCGAGGCTTCATGGGTCTGGGGTGGACTCAGGTGTGCTGCATCTTACCCACCCCTGCTCTAGAGCACTGCTTCTTCAACTATGAGTCCAGACCCCAAATGAGATCACCTTAGCTCATCATTGGAGTCCCCAAAAAATTGGAAACAGTAGGAGTTTTCTGAAGGTCATCTAGTTGCTGTTTTGGACATTTGCGTGAACCTGTTGTGCAGTGTATACAGCGGTTTCTGCAGGAGACACTAGCTGTATCTTATGAAAAGGAAAACCAGAGTGTTTATCAAGCCTTGCAAATACTGATTTGTTATCACTCAGTGTTTGATTTTTATACCTGTTTCATATATTATATACCTGGGATCAGGTAAACATTTCTCATGCCTAAAGGGGTCTTGAATGGAAAATAATAATAATAATAATAATAATAATAATAATAATAATCTTCATTTATACCCCACCACCATCTCCCCAAAGGAGACTCGGGGCGGCTCACGTGAGGCCAAGCCCAAAATTACAAGATAAAATACAGATACAGCAAAATAAAATACAAAGAAACAAAATACAATCAAAATAAATACATAACAATTTAAGTTTAAGATGTCCTCCTCTAGAGGAATGCATGGCTACTATGCTCAAATTTATCTTTAAGAGCAGAGATTCCTCCTGTGTTTCACATTAGGATAGGGAATAATGGGCCCTTGGATGTTGGACTTGTCTCCAGATGGCAATTCCAGTGATCGATTAAAAGTATTATAGTCCAACTACTTTTTTGTGATCAGTTCAATTGTTTGTTGCAGCTGTGCAGCAAATACCAAGTCACTTTACCATGATGCACTTTGAATGCTCACTGCAGAGTCAGTTGTAATAATGTGTGTATTGTTATCTGAAACAAAGAAACAAATAAGCCATGTTCTGAGTGCTCGTATACTGTAATACAATTATCTACATCTGAATGTTACAAGGTGCAGCAGATTCTCTTCTATGAAGACTCTGTGGCTGCTCATTTATCCAAAATCTTGACATCTGACCAACATTCAGTGGTCATCTCTTCAGCCAAGTAAGTATCTGAGAAAGGAGATCAATTACCCAGCCTGGATACATTGTGTGTGTTAGGCAAACAAAAGACTCTTACTTATTTTGCTTTATTTAGGGTGCTTTGTGAGACTGTGAAGGATTTTGTGGCTCGAGTAGGGAAAGCCTATGAGAGAGCACCAGAAAGTTCTGAAGAATCAGAAGTAATGGCAACAAAGGTATTAAGAAAAGAGCAGATTCAGATCTCTCTGTCTCTCTCTCATGCATGTCTGCACACATACTTGTCATGCAGTTATTGTCAGCCTCTGTGCTTTCTACTTTTAGTGCTCTGTTTTGAAAGAGAAGCTGGACTCCCTTTTGAAGACACTGAATGAAGAATCTCAAGCTTCATCATCTTTGCCAAACCCGCCTCCTACTATTGCAGAAGAAATAGAGGATGGTGATGGTTCTGGCAACGCATGTGATTCTTCGAGTGACCGCTCTGTAGGGTCCTCATGTCCTACCCGCCCTCAGATATTTCGACCACGTGAGCAATTAATGTTGAGAGCCAACAGTTTGAAAAAAGCCATTCGTCAGATTATAGAGCATGCAGAAAAAGGTAAATCCTGGGAAATCCTGAATGGACAGACTCTGCCTGAAAGGGAATGAAATAGGAAGAAAATAGGGGATTGAAATGTTACATTTTAAAAATACTCCGAAATTTTTACATTCATTGAGTTGTTTCAGATAGATTATCTCAGATAATATCTGACGAGATGCAGTAACCACATTGAAATAGGGAGTCCTTAAAAATAAAATCAGATAACATTACAGCCCTTTTGAAAATTATATTGCAGCAGACTAAAATAGCTCCTTGTTTGGAAATCATAATATATACATCAGTTTGCTAAAACCAATCTTATGGGGATTAAAAAGAGTCTTTATGGTTCATGTAAAGACCTAGAATGTTGGGGAGTGATACATCTCAGCTGAAACTAATTTCCCCAAAAGCGGATTATAGGTGGTGGTTTGGATGTTTTGAGTTCTTTGGTATGTATATCATTTAGATCCGTTCTCTTATAAATATTTAAGTTCCAAATAAGTCCTTTCTATTTTTAGATGTATCTAAGTTTAGCTACTTGTTAAATATTATATCTAGCTCACATGACTTTTTATTGCCGTTGATAATCCTGTTGGTTGTTTGTTTAGTAGTCTTTGTTAGGTTCCAATCCATAGCATCCTTTGTTTGGTTACCTATTACAGGTGATTCTTCTTTCAAATACAGACAAACCTTTTGTAAATGTTAGCTCTCGTGAGAAAGATACTTTAGAAAAGCAAACTGTTTTTATAGGGTTTTTTTTAAGGGCGGTGTTTTTCCACATGAACGAATGTAACTAAAACAGTTTTAACATTCATTAAATTAATTTTCAAACAAGAATACACGTATAAATGGGTTCCAATTACAGGATAGGAGATTCTACCTGAACTTCAGGAAGAATTTCCTGACCATTAAGAACTGTTCAGTAGTGGAATTTTCTGCGTTGGAGTGTGGTGGAAGCTCCTTCTTTGGAGGCTTTTATGGTTGTGATTTTCTTGCATGGCAGGGGGTTAGACTTGAACAGCTCTTATGGTCAGGAAGTTCTTCCTTATATTCAGGTGGAATCTCCTTGTTTGTAATTTGAACCCATTAGTAAATTGTAAACAGAGTGTTAATTATTAAAATGTGATATATACATGTTAACTGATTTGAGTTGGTTTTTAAATCAGACTTTAGCAATATGAAGTGAGCAATGTGTTTTTTCCATTTAAAGAATCTGGGAAGACCATTTGATTAACTTCTATAACAAAAATATAATTCTGTAGTTGCTTGTCAGTTATTATTTTCTCTCAGTGCAAGTATAAGTCTCATAGGATCAATGTTTTACTATTTAGCTGTGGATGAACAGAATGCTCAAACACAAGAACAGGAGAGCTTTCTCTTGTGCCTCTCCAACACTGAAGAAGGAAAAGATCTAAGGAATGAAAATAAAATTACCTTACAGTCTTCACATGCTGGCAATTACGGATTTCCAAAAGGAAGAAGCCATCGGAAAGGTAAAATCATCTGTAACCTAGATGTTTTAGGTCATTTTAGGAGGTGTCCTTACCTTTTTTGAGCCTACTTCAGTGGCTATGTCTATGGCATGGAAGTTGAGAAGTTACATTCTTTAAATAATTGTCCTCATTATTTATGTAGCTCAGCTCGTGTTCAAAACTAATTTGGTTTAACTTTTTCTCCAGTCAATTAGTCTTCCTGACAATTATTAAATCATGTGGAGGGAGCATTTGAAAAACAAGAATTTTTGATACCATATTTCCGTCACTAGTTGAGTCATTAACATTTTAGGTTATAGAATCTGAGATATGAAATATTCTACAAAAGCAACTAGCTTTCTTCCACTGTGTGCCAATGATTTTAGTAGTGAAATGAAAGCCTTTTAACCGCAGAAATCGGAAACAAAAAGTAATTGTAGATTAGTCACTTTCAAAAGTTGCTGCCATTTGTATCAGAACAAAAGGCTTTATTTAGTTTTTGATAGACACCTCTCCTGTTTCCACATGCTTAGTGTGGGTTGTGAGTAGTAAATGTGCTTTCTAGAACATTTCTTATTGGGGAAAAAACAGAAGAACTGTTGCTGTAGCAGCAAGAACTTGGGATACAGGGAAACAGTAGCTGCTGCCAAATATTTGTTAAGGGATTTAAGTATTATGTGTATTTTGAGTTACTGGTTCTTTATTGTTGTCATTAGTAGGGCACTTCTGTATTCCAGGCCAAAATATAGAAGCACAATTCTGCACAATTGATGATCAAGGAATTTAAGAATTGCTCTGGAATTATTTGTAACTAGCAGGATGTTTCCCACAGTATGATTTTTGTAACATATTTTGCTAACACATAATATCTGTGATTTGTGTTATATTTTGTAGTGATCAAGCCTCCTTGTGAAAGATTAATAAATAAAGGAAGTTTGCCAGTGGGAAGCTCTGCCTCTCTTCCTCCCCAGACAGGAAACCGGGATAATCTACCAATGCTAAATGCAAAGATCATCTATCCCAGTGAGTATTCTATTCTACCCATTTGACTGAACTAGATTAATATAGTGAACGGCCTTCCACATAGGAAATGAATCCATTCACAGACAGCACTCCTTGAAAGGGAAAAGTCATAAATTCTGGGTATTTGAAAACAAATTATGATCACTGACAGGTTCCTTCAAAGGTAACTTTTGGGGAAGATATAACAATACTTCAGGTATTATTACTTCTTTCTGCCCACTTAGAAATATTAAAATAGATGAATATAAATGCATTGCATCTGTTGTCAAGGAAAGGGTAAGTAAAACAAAAGAGATGTCCCAGGAGTTTAGTAGTGTCAGAATCAAGGATGAAGTCAGTTTGTACCTGGTTCTGTTGGTTTCTCATACATGTTAGGTTCCACTTACATTTGTTAGTGTATGATCACATTGTGTTTATATAGAGATTATTGATATAACTTCCATGCTTTAAATAATTGTCCTCATTATTTATGTAGCTCAGCTCGTGTTCAAAACTAATTTGGTTTAACTCTTTCTCCAGTCAATTAGTCTTCCTGACAATTATTAAATCATGTGGAGGGAGCATTTGAAAAACAAGAATTTTTGATACCATATTGTACCATTTTGATATCAAATCATTTTCATGTAATACTGAAACCTAATTTCCTACTGATTTGCTTTTAAATTGCACAAAAGAACAACTGCTTACATCTTTTATTTGTACACATATCCAAATTGGTTCTGGGGCTGCCCTAGCCTTCATACTATTAAAGTTGAGAGACTATGTGGGTCTCAGCATTAGCGGAAACACCCTGGACATTTTTCTTCCATCTTTCTAATGAAGCTGAATAGAGAGTTAAATGAGAATTGGCTTTAAACTTGCATGCTTTTTTTTTTTAAGAGAGATAGACATGAACCACTGTAGGAAGGATGCTACTGAAATCTGCTGAAATGAAGAAAAAAAACCCAATTCCTTGGAAATTTACTTACCCATATGGGAAAAAATGAATTCATTGGTATCACAGCAGGAAAAATATACTAAACACCATCCCTCCCCCAAATCTGACCCTGGTAATTATCAGATCTCTGCACAAAATGTATGTTCAGTGTAAAGGCATGTGTAACATCATGTGTACTTTGGTCCTAAATATTGCAGAGAATTCTGTTTTCCCAAATACACAGCATTATCCATGAACTGTGAACAGAAGGAATTGGGAAACTTTTTGCGCGTTTGAATCTGCATATGTGTAGGATTTAAGTACTAAGGTTAGAATTTTTCATAACCTTAGCTTTTCTGAAGTTCTGTTTTTCCCTCATTGTTCAGCATCAGTGAACATGTTACATTCTCCAGAAGTGATATCCTGTTGGTTTTGGAGGTAAAATAGATCCTGTTTTGCCATTTGGTAATATACTCTGTCCTGCCCCACTTTATGAACCCCATACTATTTCCTGCAACCTTTGTATTTTGTTGACAGATATCCGTGCTGGAGCATCCGGCTCTCTACCTGGAGGCTCTGTTATCAGCCGTTTGTTGATCAATGCAGACCCATTTAACTCTGAGCCAGAAAATCTGTGAGTATCTCAGTTAGAAAGAGAAGGATCTCGCTATTAGTAACTGTCCTTTTTAAAAGCAAGCAAAATATTTCTCTTGAAGTGTAAAGAAGGTCAGGAAAAAAGATATTTTTTCCCAGTGACAACTGCTCACCAGTTAAGATTAGTGAGAAAGCCGAAGTGGTAAATTAGCTAGAAAGCTTTAGCTTTTATTTCCAAGAAAACAAACGAGAGAGAATTTAAAAGAATCAAAAATAAAATAATAGAAGGAGACATGGGAGGTGGGGTCATCTTTATGGGATCATATCATTATTGTTTCCCATATAGAAAAGTAATTTGAGGGTTTTAAAAAAATCTTACTAATCACTACTAAGAATCACTAATCCCTGGGCGATTTAAATTTTTTGAATTTTCTTCATATTTCACCCAGTTAGGTGTACTTTTGATAGCTGAGCTATTTTATTTCTTCAGCATAGTTCTTTAGAAGTGGTAACACAATAATCCAAGGAATTACAAGAGGATCACAGCATCCATCCAACCCTGAGTATCCATCCATCCCAAATCCATTCTTGAGTATAGATTTGTGGCTAAATTTTTGGTATTTTTCTGAGATAGCCATACATTGGGCAGTCAGCAAATTCAGACATTGTCCTGTGCCTTTTTAAACTTTATACTAGCTGCCAGCCTTTATCATTTTAGTTCAGCATCTACTCTTTTGTTGATGCCTTTCCTATCTTTTTAAAATTTGTTTCTCTTTTAATTGTGTTCTTGACTTTTAAACTGCTTCCTTTATATAAAAAATAGGCATGATCCTACACCATATCACCACATCCTTAATTTCTAGTACATTAGGAAAATCCTGTGTGAATGTATAGGAAAAGTGCATCAGATAGTTCTATAGATAGCTTTAGAAGGCATGGTGTGGGGGATAGTGAAATATTCCACCACATTAAAACACTGGGTTTTTTTTTTACTATTTTACAGTGATTGTTATGTAGAAAAATGTGTGATGAATAATTATTTTGGAATTGGACTGGATGCAAAGATCTCTTTGGACTTCAACAACAAGCGTGATGAGCACCCAGAAAAGTGCAGGTACATTACCAATTTGAAAACGCTGTTTTAGAGTGTTTAAAAATCCATGACTTCTTGTGCTGCACATAAATAAACCGCTATCAATCTACTAAAAATATAATATCTTATTAAAAGTATCATCGTTTTGGTCAATAATAACAAAGAACAATAAGCATAGTGATAACTTAATGTATTTAATAGTTCTTGCTTTAGGACAGTGGTTCTCAACCTTTTTAATGCTGTGACCCCTTAATACAGTTCCTCGTGTTGTGGTGACCCCCAACCATAACATTACTTTCATTGCTACTTCATAACTGCAGTTTTGCTACTGTTACAAATCGTAATGTAGATATCTGATATGCAGGATGTATTTTCATTAACTGGACCAAATTTAGCACAAATACTCAACACACCCAAATTTGAATACTGGTGGGGTTGGGGATCCAGTCCCTCCAGCCTCAGGCACTCTCCCTCGCCTATGTATGTGCACCACACTGCCATGTTCTCCCCTTTTCGTTGGAGTCTCAGAAACAGCCCTCTGGCTGAGAGGCTGGCAGTCACAACAGGAGGAGGTCTTTTGGTGGGAGGATTTGCTATCTGTTTCGAAAAAGAAGAAAAGCACAGGCAGAGCAATCTTCAGCCTTCTCTGCCAAACGGCTTCTTAAGACCATTAGAAATATGTGTTTTCTGTGATCTTTGGTGACCCCTCTGAAACCCCCCTCATGACACCCCCAGGGCTCCCGATCCCCAGGTTGAGAAACGCTGCTTTAGGAGATAGCGCAATGTAATTTAATAGCTGGATTAAATTAGAAAAAAAATCTGCATTCCATAATCTGATCCATTGGATAACTTGAGCTTCATTTTCCCCTTATCAGAAGTCGTACAAAAAACATGATGTGGTATGGAGTGCTTGGGACAAAGGAGCTGCTTCACAGAACCTACAAAAACTTAGAACAGAAAGTTTTGCTAGAGGTAATGTATCCTAGGATGTCTCCTAACTTGTTTCATCACTTTTCCTCCCGTATGCGCCACCCTGGTTGGTAAAAACTCAGAACAGCTTTGGATGTAGTGTTTCTTCTATCATATCTGCAGTCAGAAAGTGAATAAAGTAAAATCAGCTATTTCATTTGAACATGTTTATGAAATGTAAAGTCATCTGTATATTTTGCAGTGTGATGGGCGTCCAATTCCTTTGCCCAGTCTTCAAGGAATTGCTGTTCTCAACATCCCTAGCTATGCTGGAGGCACCAACTTTTGGGGAGGCACTAAAGAAGACGATGTAAGTAATTCTCAGACTTACCAATTGAGGATGACTGTAGATTGATTTCTCCCACCTTTTCCCAAATGGAAAGAATAGAAAAGGAAAAAAGTGATGCTTTTCAATTCAAATCTCACACTGCTCATAATCTTAACAAGTATATTAAATATTGTGATGGATCTTGTGCTTGGGTTGTCTTCTGCTAAAGCCACAAAGTTGCCTTGAGAATAAAAAGAATCTAATAAACACCTACTGCTGCAGTTGATTTTATGACTACATTGACAGTTGCTAAGAGAAATTAAATCAAGATGTCTGTATTAAAAATGAAACATATCTCTATCTAGCAGAGAGAGAGTGCATGTCCTCTATCTGCTAGATATATCTTCCCTGCCTCTAACATCTTTTTATCTTTTTATCTTTATCTGAATTTGGATATTACTAGAGTATAAGAGTGTGACTCAGCATTGTCCATCTGTTTGGATTACCACTCTGACCTAAGTTGTTACCGATGGGAGTTGTATTTTTCTAAGGGTGTTGATGAAGGTGCCCACTGTGGGTAAATATCAGAGTTAGAACAGATGAATCAGAAAGTGATTGCGGAGAAGAGAGGACATACTCAGAGGATCATGTTAGTATGCCGACTGAGCAATCTGGGTCCTCTATTATTAATATGCCTGTTTGAGTCATTGTCATTCCTGCAGTAATTAGGAAAGACAGAGTTGGGACCTTCCTCCCTCATCTTGGTGGTGTTCTAAGAACAAGAGGGACACTCTTGTCTGTCCAGGGTTGTGGTCATTCTGTGTCTCATCCAGAAGACATTTGTGTTTAGCAGAATTTGATATCTACTGTCATCACTACGCAGAGTTTGAATTGGAGAAACAGATGGCTTGGCATTGTCAGTTGTAGATGCAGGCAGTTAATGCTGTTTCCCTGTTAAAAATGTATGGCTTCCTGATTGTCAGTAGGAACGTGGGAGGCAGTGTACATAGTACTGAATCACGAAAACAATTTCAGCAGACATGTTGGTATGACTGAAAGTGTATTTAGGTTTTGGAAGGATGTATTTTGAGAGATATGTTTGCTGTTGAGTTGCTTTTGCATTCCATTTTTCTTCTCTCTTCCTCTGACCATGCTCTCTGATGTGGATACTAGAAATTTCAGTTGTTGGAAAAAGTAGCATGTTAAATCCTCAGTGTAAGGAGCTTCACTGGAATTTAAGTCTCCAACAGTTTTTGCTCTGCTTTGTGTCCCTCAAAGAACAATCTGTTATGACTCTTTGACCTGCAGTAGCAACGAGTGACAGACTGTAAAGCTCATTAGTCCACAGTAGAGACTATAAAGCCCAATAATTTGCAGTTCCGATTTTGAGGCTGCAAAGAACATACTGGCCAGGATTTGCAAGACACAGCAACACAAAAATGTTTAACTATATACACACACATTGAGTAGCAAAGGGGAAACATCTTCCCATTAACATATTGCTCAGCTACCAACACCTCTACATTTGAAGGAGGGAAGATCTAGTTTCATTACTGATAAAGACATCTATTTTAACTAAAGTCAAAAGTAAATTAGTTTTTTGTTTCCTTAGACATTTACAGCCCCTTCCTTTGATGACAAGATCCTGGAAGTTGTGGCTGTATTTGGCAGTATGCAAATGGCTGTCTCGCGTGTGATCAATCTTCAGCATCACCGGATTGCCCAGGTATTACACGTTTTAAAACGTTCTCTGGCAGATTACTGTCTACATAATATTTCAGGCATGATTTTGGCTTTCTATGAAAGAATTGAAGAGGTATCAACTGTTGCATAAAGCTTATCTGTGAACAGTTGACAAAGGTACTCAGCATTAATCACTGCTGGTTTCTAAGTATTGCTCTTGTCTGGGTAGAAAATGGAAATTCAGACATTATTTTGTAGTAGTAGTCTCATTTCTGACTTGTGCTAAGGAAATGTGTCGAGAAAGCCATTGGCTGTGGTGCAGTACAGGGAAATGTCAGGGATAGTGTGTGTAAAACATACCCTGTTTTATTATTTAGGATGCATTTAACATGTGAATTTCCTGTAGTGTCGGACAGTGAAGATTGCAATTCTGGGAGATGAAGGAGTTCCTGTGCAAGTTGATGGAGAAGCTTGGATCCAACCCCCAGGATATATTTGGATTGTTCATAAAAACAGGGCACAAACACTAACCAGAGATAGGGTAAGAGGAGTCCTTTTGTGCATTTTGTGTGGAGACAGTTTCATGGGATTGTGGGCCATTTTAGCCTCCTGCAATGCATTGTGGGTTGGCACACTCTCCCTAGCACTGTTGTTTTCAATAACTATTTTTGCCACCATGACCAAATTTACAATTCTTTGAAAATAATGAATTAAGAGAATTCTGTTCCCCATGTTCCTCTACATCCTAACCTTGTGGTTTTCATACTTTACATTTTTTTAAAAAATCCCTTGAATTTTGGTAGCAATGGCAGACCTTTTTGCATGTTGTTTATTGCCTGCCTTGAATGATTATATGAAATTATACATTTTAATTGGCTTGTAATAGAAGGATATTTTAATTATCAGCAACTGTTTTGTGAATGGCTGTTGTTAAAAATGTTTTGCCACTGTCAGCCACCCTGTCCCATGTGCATAGATATATAATAAAGATAACACCTTCTGTATTTATTGAGGTAAGCTTTATTATTCAAAAGCTTATACCACAATATATTGATTTCAGACGTCTCCTTGTAGCATTATATACTGGAGAGTTCTCTTTAACAGAAGTAATGTGTTGAATGTATAGACATTCAGAAAGCACATAATATATACAGACATTTCCCAAGTTACAAACAAGATAGTTTCTGTAGATTTGTTCTTAAGTTGAATTTGTATGTAAGTCAGAACAGGTACATTTTTAAGTGTAACTCCAGCCTATATATATATATATATATATATTCTTTAATTTTGGATAGCATAGGGATGAGTTTGCTGTCTGTGCCCCTGTTCAGAAGACTTCACCTCATTTTCTGTCCCTATGATAATTGGATTTTGAAAAACTTAATTTATTGTGGAAAAAAGGATTGCCAATTAAGCTTTGGTTGAGACACTTTTTTCCCCTTGATAAAGCTTTCAAGATTGAATTTCCCTTCCTGGGGGTAGATTTCTCTTACTTCCTGTTGTCTCACACCCATTCTTAACAAAGAGTAGTTTTTAAAGTTGGATTTGGTAACTCGAGGACCCCCTGAATATGATTCCTCTGGATGATTATTAATGTCATGGTACGGTACAATGAAACACTTTTCCATTGTTGGGTTTTTCAGGCATTTGAGAATACCCTAAAATCCTGGGAAGACAAACAGAAGTGTGAGCTAGCTCGGCCTTCGTCATTCTCATTGCATCCAGAGATTATATCTGAAGAAGAGTCCATTCACATCAATCAGTTTTGCCAAGCAGCAGGAGCTTTGATCCACAGGTGAGACTGTTTTCCTCCTTTCCCGGGTTCACACAGAGAAGGTGGTGGGATGGCAACCAGAAGGTTTCTCCTGTTGTGTTTTCTCACCCCCCTCTACAGCATACGGGAAATTGCCCAATCATTTCAAGACATGGAACAAGAACTTGCTCATGCGGTCAATGCTAGTTCCAAATCAATGGACAAAGTATATGCTAAATCCAAATCTACAGAGGTATTATATTAGCTTATCTGTCTTAGTTTCCCCCCAAATGATTGGCTTCTCAGATTGTCCTGTGTTGGGTTAGATTGATTGGCATTTCCTGTTCTTTATGTGTATGACCTTTCCACAGGGCCTGAATTGCAACCTTGTTGTAGAGATGGTTAATAATGTGAAGGCTCTGCACAATGAGACTGAACTGCTCTTGGCTGGGAAGATGGCCCTGGTAAGGCACTTTGCAGATATTTATTATCCTCTTCCTGCAGGTTCATATTTGAATACTATATATTTGTCATTATTTTTACTGTTATGATTTTGTCATTCAGTGTTTTGAGTTTGTATTTTTGCAATTTACCAGCCTTAGTCCCCTCGGGGAGATAGGGTGGAATATAAATAAAGTTATTTATTATTTTATTTATTTAAACTCATTATTAGAATATGCATTGTTTTATCTTCCATGGTACAGGAGAGGTAGCGCAAGCTAGTGCTTATCAAAATGATAAGTGACAGTATATCCTCGAATAATCAGTTCTTTTGTCAGAAGAAATAGCAGTGATTTAGAATAGTGGTTTGCTTGAATTTAGTAGAATATTTTGGAAGGATATTTGGTAGCTTGTCCTTCTTAGTTTCCTCCCAAATGATTGGCTTCTCAGATTGCCCTGCATAAAATGTATTTATTTTTATTTATGCCCTAACTTTTTACTGGAGCAAGGCCCAAAGGGGCTAACAATATTTGGCAGTTTAGACTGTCAATGAAGCAATAAAATCCAAAGCAGATACAACTACTAGGCTATACTAGTGGGAGCAAGACAGATAATATATCTTAGGTAGCAAGTGCTATCTTATGATCAAGCTATTCAAACACTAAACCAACATCTCGTCTAAAATACACTGATCAATTAGTCACATGATTGAGACACATGGTTGAGTTACTGCCTGCTTCTCATAATTGCTGGGTGTTTCAGGAACCCTGCTGCTGTTGTCCATTCTGTCTGGTACAAAAATGAGAAGACTGTTTTATGCCTGGTTTGTTGATAGAGTGTTTGTTGTTTGTCTTTAGCTATCACACATTGTTCTTGTGATACGCTTCCAGGAATTCTACACAATTGAAAGACAAACACAAACATTGCCAGTGGCAGAATCCAGGAAGGAAACAACTGACAGTGCCTGGGGACAATTTTTCTGGCATGCAGTCACCCAATCCTTTGTAAACACAGGATGTGTTTATAATTTGGCAGCAGTTTTAGAAGGAGATGGGTCAATAAAGGCACCATTGCAGTACAGTTTTGTGTCATGTTAGTTTGTGTTGTAAATAGAGCATTACTTTTACCAAGATGTCTTCTTTTTTTTTTTTACTATCTATACTGCTTTAAATGTTGTTACTTGAAAACAAACCACGTACCTAAATTAAATTTTTTATAACTATTTAGAGATATTTCGAAATAAACAAGTTTCAGAGAAGTGAATCTTTGAGGAAGGAATTTTTAATATTAATTTTAAAAGACTGCCTGAAGAAGTTTATTCAAAGATTAGAAACATTCGCTGATTACACAGCCCGACAAAAAAATGTTTTCTTGGTGTCTTTGTTTTTTAGGCCTGGTCCTGGGGTTATTTGGGGCACTGATTCCAAAAATTACATTGAATAGACTGCATCAGCTCTAGTTCTTAGTTAGGAGCCTTCGGTGGCCCAATAAGTTAAACCCTTGTGCCAGCAGGACCAATGACCAACAGATCAGGTTCAAATCTGAGGAGAGCAGGTTGTGCTCCCGTCTGTCAGCTCCAGCTCTCCATGCGGGAACATGAGAGAAACCTCCCACAAAGATGGTAAAACATCAAACATCCGAGCGTTCCCTGGGAAACATCCTTGGAGATAGCTAATTCTCTCACATCAGAAGCAAATTGCAGTTTCTCAAGTTTCTTCGACACGAAAAAAAAGTTCTTAGATATGGTTGTCATGTTTTCTATGAGTGAGCAGATGAAGACTGGTATATGGCATATGTTCTGTATCTCATAAACTAGAACTGATGGGAAAACAGGTGCTATTTGTGGAATCAGCAGGTCAGATATGCCCAGAAGACATGAAACAAGTATACTTTCAACTTTGAGGGTCTTCAATGTTTCATAATGTTTTTATTTCTGATGCAGCAATTGGATCCTCCGCAAAAGGAGCAGCTCCTGGCAGCCTTGAATGAAATGGACTTGCATATGAGGAAGCTAGCAGACATTCCATGGCTGTGGCAACTCATGGAGCCCAGTGATGAAGAGGTAACTTAAGAGTAAGAAATGAGATCCAGAGCTCCTGAGGCTTTGGATCTCATTCTGCCACTGGGCTCAAACTTTCAAAGGTTCCTAAACTAGTATGAACAACATCACTGCAGCCAGATTAAATTAACCTAAATCAGTTAATGAGGTGGCATCATTTTATTTGTCTTCAATACTCGATATGCAGAATCACTTCATGTGAAAAATAATCATTATGGTATATGTGCAAATACTTATATTGTGGTCTCCATGATTTCTTTTCTGTATAGAACCAAATGCTGGAATATTCTAAACGCAGCCGGAGTGGCAAATTTCGCCTGGTGACAAAATTTAAAAAGGATAAAAACAACAAGAATAAGGAGACACGGAGCAGCTTGGGATTGCCGGGTACCGCCTCTCTGTGTATTTCCTCTTTGCCCTTCTTCATAAACATATGCATATGCACATCTATACACAAAAATATCTCAGCTTTTCCTTTCTGAATATCCCACCCTTCCCCCCTCTCTCTTGCCTGTATTTACCCCCTACGTTTGTGTTAACAAGTTTCTTACATTTTCATAGCAATATTTCTCTCATACCTGAATGTATTTGTGGGATTCTTTGTTGGATATATGCAGCACCACTCACTACATCTGAAATGCAGAAGCTGAAACCAATCTCCAGCTGACTTCCACTGGTGTTTTAAGATATAGGCCAAAGGAATTTGTTTAAGGAATTACAAATTTTTACAGATCAAAAGGACTGCTGAGCCCAAGTTTGCAGAACTCCAGAATTCCCACTGCTAATAATCTCATGATTTGATTAATGATTTCTTTCATTGATTTAGTCCCAGGCTTTAATCAAGTCTTATGTCTAATTGTCTGGGGGTTCTGCATTATCACTAATGCACCCTGAACTATAATCTTTATTGGTTCGTATGATATTGAAAATGACCCCTTGGAATCATAATTTCAAATGGTATCAAGACACTTTCTTTCCACTTGATTGATTGATTGCCTTATATGCTTTCTTACACATATATTCTTTGTCCTGTGGGGCCAGTGGTATCATCTAGTTTCTTACTGATTTTGTGGCATATATCATTCCTCATCTCTCTCCACCTTTTTCCCTTTCTCATCTGTGTGGTAGGATTATGTTATCCTTGCTTCTTATTTGGAGGCTGAATGGCTGTTCTGAATTTATTTACCTTGAAAGAAATTTAAAAAATGACAGTTAGCAACAATATACTCAATAGTTGAATGTGTACAAATAAATGTGCTGATCCAGAAAAAGGCAGCACGAATTTGATCACATTATCCATAATCTTGATATGCAGATATGAAGAGTCTATGCGATCTTTGATTTCCTCCACAGGCTCTATCCAGTGATGAATATATTATTTGCCCATGAATATAGCCTCTTATCTCCATTTCCAAAGGAAATGTGGAAATTCTAGTTGGCCATAGTTTACTATGATTGCCCATTTAGAACAATCCAGGATTTTAAAATGTTTCTGAAGTTGGTTTAAGATCCCGATTTGTTTTAAATCTGATAACTGTTGTTTCTCAGTTCAAAAAAAAAAGAAATTTAATTTGAGGCTTCAAAATTTCACACAGAAACAGGGCAAAGAGAGAAGAGGAAGTTGCTACAAATTTAATAAAACAGCTCACTTATGTCTTAGTTTAGTAAACCAAGGTAGTTTCCATATGCAGCAGTGTGTCCCAGGATGACTAGAGTAGAGGGAAATCAATGATGGTAATAGTAATGACTTTACAATAGTCCCATCTGCTTGGATCCTTCAGGCACAGTAAGACAGTATCAGAGAGCTTTGTCCACTCTAGAAGTTAACACATTTATTTAAATTTGGATTCTTCCTGACTCGAGATCTGTCCAGGATCAGGTGTCAAACAGGCAATTGTCTTTGTGGGTTTAAGTTAGGGAGACAACTCTCACTGTGGTGAGTCCAGAAATGAGCAACACCAGAGAGTGGCCAAGAGTTAATTTCAGTAATCAGTAACTGATGGTTCAATGGAAAAAGCAAGGAAATGAGGTGATCCCCACAAAGTAAAACTAGTTGGACAGGTTAAAGATTCTGGTCTCAAAGCTTGTCATTACAAAGCCATCGAAGCCAGAAAGGTCTTTCGAGCCATCTCACTAAGTGCTTAGAGATTTGTGTTGCTGTTTTGTTATTGCCACTGAGAATCCATTGAGAAAGTGCATCTGATGAAGTAGACTTAAGTCTATTAAAGCTGATGCTACCAGCATCTTACTTTTTGTTTCAAAAGTGCTTCATTGTCCCTTTTGCATATTGAGAGAGTACTTGGTCTTCAAGGCTTACAGCTTCAAATGCAGCCCTAATGGTAGTTGAAATAAGGTTCTGGCTTCTGCAAATCTGTTATCCGTGTCCCCAGTATCTTAGGGACGAGACAGAATCCAGACCAGGTCTACCGTTAAATCCCCAGGGTGATTTGCAGTGGACTAGCAGAGGTTTCTAACATTTAGTGTCTTTTAAAAAATAATAACAAGTATATTTCCTCTTAAGTAAGCTTAAGTACTTAAGTGAGCTCCAGTTCTGATAACAAAAACAAACTTCTGGACCGAGCATATTATCCAAAGGTATTTTGCATGCTGCTAACTTGAACCAAGCTACAGTTGGCAAACACTAGGATTCTAGTTTAATACAGATTTGATTCCATGGGGCTAAGGTGCATGCATCTCGGCTTTACAACTGGGCAATATTTTATCTTTTAGTCATTGGGTTTTGCGTGTTCTAGAAGAGAAGGGAAAGATGAGGTTCTTCTCTCACTATACATAAAGGTGCCTACACATGTGTTTGAACAAGTTGCCAAACACATATTTTAAAGCAACATTTTCCACTGATTGACCAGGTTCATCTTATGGCAAATAAGAATTCATTATTTTTCAGATAAAACCAAGCTACATCTAGCCTCCATTTAAGACCATCCCTCCTCTTCTTACCTTGCTCTCTTTGTCCTCGATATAGAATTGTTGAGCCTTTTCCTCTTTCTATCTTCTGTGGGTGATATTACTGTTTACCTTTCTCCTTTTGTGCAATGTTGGCATTTGGTGGTATTCCCCTCTTCTTTGCTGGCTTTTCCTCTCTGGGCTGTGGGTACTCAACACACTCCTGCTTTTCCATCTCTGACAGTTCACCTCTGGGGAACGGAGGAGGTTGCTGCCTGGCTTGAGCACCTCAGTCTTTGTGAATATAAGGATATCTTCATCCGGCATGACGTCCGGGGCTCTGAGCTCCTGCATCTTGAACGGAGAGACCTCAAGGTATTTCCATGAGCAACTTATCAAATGCAACTTGCATGCATTTGCATGACCATTTCTGCTGACTGTGCTTGAAGCTGGTCTGCACACTCTCCGTTCTAGGTGGCTTTAGACCAGACATGGGCAAACTTCGGCCCTCCGGGTATTTTGGACTTCAGCTCCCCAAATTCCTAAGAGCCGGTAGTCCAAAATGCCAGGAGGGCTGAAGTTTGCCCATGCCTGCTTTAGACAGAGTGACAGATATATTTAACTCCTGTGGTTTGACAGAGTTAGGTCAGAGAAAAGGTGGTTGGTTCTGAACTCAAACCCAGCAAAATTTAAAATCCAAGTCTCCTGAAGTTGTAGATCAGGCACAGAGTTCACTACTGTATTCCATAATGTAAGATCTTAATGTTGTTACTTGAAAGATGTAAGTGTCCCAGTGTTGTTGTTTGTTTGTTTGTTTGTTTTTTTGCATCTTTTTCATAAAGTATTGTTAAAGAATTTGAGTGTTAACTATATTTCAAATAATGCAGATAACCAAGGAAATGCATGAGACAGCAGCCAGTGCAACTTGCCAGCCAGTTTAATCCTTGCTGCAAGTAGAGATTAGTAAACCTCTGCAACCAGTGGATCCAGGCAGTAGCCCAGCATGTTTATATGAGTATTGCTTCATGCTGTCAGTGGCCTGTGTGGCTCCATGAGTAATGCACCCCTTTTCAAGCTTTGCAAATCCTTTCTGCTATATGACAAACTAATGGCAACCACACATTTTTGAAAAAGCCACAGGCATAAATTTTAGAAATCAAAACTATATTGAACTAAACATATTACGCTAAGCTTTCTCTAACATTTGGGAGATGCTGTTTCTGCATAAAATATTATCTAAGCAGATCTCTCTTAAGTTCAATCTTGTAACCTTAAGATTAAAAAGTGTTTTTGCAAATTCTCCTACTGTATGTTCTTTAGTTCACTTGTAACTGGAGAATTTGTTTATTTATTTATTTTGTGTCACATAATTTATCATTTTTTTCTCTTCTGGAAGTGCCGGTTGTCTCTGAAAATCTTTGCAAATATTCTTGGCTTCTAATAGAACTTGAGTGTCAAAATTTTCTCATTTGCATTGATACCATATTACTGTTTCAAGCTTATTCCACAATGCTTTATTACGTTGTCAGGTTCTGTGGCCCTATTCTTGATTTTTGAGACACTGAATCTAACAGTGAGGGTACAGTTTAAAGACATAGCCATGGTAGTCTGGAGCATCAGTATGCAAAGAGATCTTGTAGTACCTTTGACACTAATTGAACACATAAACTTGTAGCATAAGTTTTTGTAGTATTGGCCTGCTTCTCTCAGACATCTGAGAAAATATACTGTATATACTCAAGTATAAGCTGAGTGTTCCAGCCTGTTTTTTAGACTGAAAAAGCCCCCCTCAGTTATACTCGAGTCAAGGTTATATATTATATTACTGTGTTATTACTATTATTTTAATTACATTTATTATTTTACTCTATTTATTTATTGTTATTATTACATGTACATTATTTTCCTCTATTATTATTACACTTATTGTTTTACTTTATTATTAATATTATTATTGCATTTATTATTTTACTCTATTATTATTGGAAGGTTACATACGCACATTTAAATTGAAAAAGGTTAGAATAATTATTTAATCAGAGTTGGATAGTCTTATTTTAAATTACATTTTTATGTAAATATCCAAAAACATTTAACCTACTGATATCTCAATTAATGTAATTTTATTGGTATCTATTTTTATTTTGAAATTGACCAGTAGCTGCTACATTTCCCACCCTCAGCTTATACTGGAGTCAATAAGTTTTCCCAGTTTTTTGTGGTAAAATTAGGTGCACTGGCTTATATTTGGGTCGGCTTATAAGTACAATTCGGCTTAAGGTACAATTTTCAGTTTGTCTCCAAAGTGTTACAAGATCCCTTTGCATCCTAAAACTATCAATTATGTTGTTTTTCTCAAGTTTCATTTTGGGAGGAATTCAGCAGGTTAACATTGTCCAGATGTGTCTGTGGCCTGAGGGTTTTATTTCCTTACCTCTCTTTTTTCAGGACCTAGGAGTGACCAAAGTGGGCCACATGAAGAGAATATTGCATGGGATCAAGGAACTGAGCAAGAATATTCCTGCCAACGAGGCTTAGCGTCTGTTTTCAGAGCTTGCATTTACCATTCCTCCTGATATCTGCATTTTGACACATACACAGCAGATTTGATCAGAATTGTCTCTATGGATCGGCCAAACACTGCCACCTGTGTTAAGAGCTCAAATCCAGCTTTTCATGGTGCTACCTTTCTGATGTGGGATACAGTTCTATTCAGTCACACAGCACCTTGTAATCGATGCCAGTGTTAACTTTGTCTTAGCCAACTGCCTTTAACTCAGGCCCGAAGCCACTTGCTAGATTCTAAACACCTTTCTGCCAGCCCTAGGAAACGATCCCGTGAACAACATTTGTGTGTGTGTGTAGAGTTAGTCACAGAAGCCAATATGCTAACTTTCCTTATGACTGGGGATCTTGATATGTTTTAAGAACTATGAAAGCTCCTGTTCCTCCTTTGTACATCATCATAAAAATTAACTACTGCCAAGAAGGCAGTGAGTTTATAAACCAACTACTTGGGACAGCCAAATGAAGTAATTTAAGTATACATAATGCCAGTCCATTACTATTGATGCTTTGGGATAAGTTCAGAGTTAATTTAAATTAGAAGGATTCCTCTTTCAATGAGTTCCCTTTTTCTGAAACAGAGAAACAAATTTAACATTGATCTGTATGTGCAGATTCTTTTTTTCTTTCTAGGAACACAAGTTGTTCTTAACACTAACAGTTTGATTATCTTGTAATCCTTGTAGGTGTTAATGGAATGGGATTTCACATTGTTCTGGCTCAAAACATCAAGTGCCTAGAAATACTGAAAATCCAGAAGTGAATCTGAGGGGGCAGAATGTGTTGTTGACTCTGCTCCACAGTGAATAACCTAAAAACACACACGTAATGCACTATTTGGGCACTTTTGGAGACAGCAAGGGAGCCTTCTGTGCATAGTTGTTGGGCAAGATGTAACATTTCTTCCTTTTCATTAATGTTTCCTGAGCCTTACAAACCTAGAACATTGCTTCAGACATACATAATATTTCTCTGTTTTAGGAGAAATCTCTGGCAAACCTTTACTAATGTAATTTCACTGAATTATTCAGAAGTTCTTCTGAGACATCACTTCAGAATGTTATCTGCTCTTGTTTCTTCCTGTCACTTATTTTGCAGGAGAGGATGACATGGTCTTATTTAGGGAAAACTAGAATCGAACTTCTAATAGAATTCACAGGAGAGATCTTAAACCTGAGCCCCATGTTTTTCTAATTCTGTCCCATTATCACTGTTTGCCAATATAATTTTGCCTTACTGGTAATAGAGTATTTGTGCATGTTTGGAGGAATGTGAGTTGCAAGGCACAGGTATTCACCAGAAAAACCACTGTCCTGAATGCTTTCATTTTCTGTGATGCTTAAAAGTCTGTGCCACATTTTGCAGTATGCCACCAACCTTCAAATGTAAAAATAATTTCTGACACTCTGTGATTGGTGAAAATCGTACAGCAGCCTCTTCCAATTTCTAGTGAACACCTCAGGGAGCTGAACCGCCACGTTAAAAAAAGACACAGCAAAAACCCCACGATTTTCTATCCCTTTCACTGTGGAAGAACTGTAGTGCTTGTTTTTCTGCTTCTAGAATTTTCATGTGGAATTAAGGATGCTTTCTTTTTTTAGCTTGTTTCATCTTGCTGTAAGAAGAGCGGCTTTGTTTTATTCCATTGACTCAACTTAATAGGATGCCTGTTCTGTTCTACATTCAAGTGATATCAGCTTTTGATAAAACTATTTACAGGGAGTTTGCTTGTTAACAGTTCTCTCAAGGAATGTTTTTGCACTGACGCCAGTCCCAACATATTCCAATATATTCCTTTGTAAGAATCGCTCAATACGTTGAGATTTGAGAATCAAGAGTTTTCCACCTTTTCCGTTGACTTAGGAAATGGGATTTGTCTGTTGAGTGCTTTTACATTTGCATTTATGTTTAGAGGGGTAGGATGGAGCAATTATAGGCCAAAGTCCTTCTGAATGCATTTATTGCTACCAGAAGTAAGATGGCTTCTGTGTGCAGAAACAGGGGACCTTATAAAGAAATGCCCAAGTACCACAAGCATGTACGTCTGCTGTCTACCTAGGAACCGTTTACTTTAAGATATATTTGCTGGCTAAATAAAATTAAGAAACAGACAGAAGAAAAAGCTTGTGAGGAATACCATGGCAAGCTAGACATTTCAACATTGAATTTCAACTAGGTTATTTTAACTTGATAAAACATGACACTTGAAGCATAAGGTATTCCAGCTGCATATTTGTTGGCCCATTTTATACTGTTTAATTAATTTGAGTTGGAAATGAGATGCATTCCATTTTGAAGAAAATGCCATTTTTTATATTTTGCAGCTATTTTTCTTGGCCTGTCACTGGAATATTACCTGTTAGTGTTTTGTAATGGGTCCATTAAATTTCAGTTTGGTATGTTGAATAGTATTAAAAGAAGTGCCAGTCCTGACCATCTTTAAGAAGAAGGAGGTGTGGGATCAGAGCCAACATTATGCTAGCCAATTTCTGGTCACGCACTTGTGCCACTCCAAATAATGTTGGTAGCTATTGGGGGAATTTCCCCCTCCTATTTCATTGACAGGAGTCCTCCCAGTAGAAGTTTCTGGTTGGAAGTAACCCATGGTTTTCTAACCAAAGTTGCTTTTCAGGTTGCAGAATATCCATCTTTAATTCACTGCAGCTGCTAGATGTATATATGAATAAGCAGTGCAATCCTATATATGTTTATTCCAGAAATACGTTCCACGGATGGTTTGTCCTCAAGTACTTATGCATAGGACTTCAGCCAGTTATTTAATGTTTAATTCTAGTGGATATATTCACAATTTCAATCTCTGGACACTTGAAAAGTACAAATTCCACTAGGATGTGCGTGATAGGAACTGTAAGGAGGCACTTGGTGCCAGTATCTGCTGAGAAGCTCTGACCACCTAGATCATTTTAAAATTATTTTTTAGTATTATTTAAAGATGAATATAGTTTGAGTGGTAAATTAAAGACTGTTTACACAAAACTCTATGTATCTTAACAGATGTTTGTGATGTAAAGAAAAGGAAGAAAACTGTTTTTATAAGTCATTTGATGTCAGTTGTTCATTTCGGACTGTTCTTCAGGGGTGTTGTAACCATTACTGTTATCTGTCAACATAGGGAAACATTTCAATCTGTACAGTCTTGGGAAGAAGGTTTTGTGCCTTAAATGTAGAACATGCTATTTATTATTTTAATTTATACCGTGATTGCCATGGAAACGCCTCTTGTATGTACATATTTTGCAGCTATTCGTTGTAAATATATTGTTCCTGTATATATATAAAAAAACTGTTTCTGAATTTCTTGTAAATTGTTATACTCATTCTGAAGGAGTAATATTGAATATCCTCATCTTCAAAACTTGAGTCTGGTTGGTGCCAAATGTTTCCCAAAGAAGTTGACCTTAAAGCAAAGAGGTTGTGTTCAGTAGTACAGCTATAACTTCCATCTGGCTCTGCTGCACAATATGTTAGTAGCTCTAGGAAATAACAGTTTTGCAAGAGATGAATTAATTGGATAGTTTTAGTCCCATTTAGGCCAAATATTCCATTTCCCCAAATGTCATATTGTCTTTTCAACACACCAAAGAAACATTGGTAGTAAAGGATACATAGGATACATAGAAGTCCCTGGCGTCATTCTTCACCTAAAATTAAGCAATGATAAGAACAGAAGAGCCATATTCTCATTAGTATACACGTTACTCTATTTACACATTGATGTATGTTATTTTCCTGTCTATTGTATTGAAGACTTAATGAGAGAAACATAATGAAAACGAAGCTAAATAAAATACCAGGAATTGTGTAGAGGGGTATAGAACTATCAGCAGTTACTAGTTATGACTGTATTGCAACTTTCAAAGTAGGCTTTTAGATGGTGAGACCACAGTTTCCCTTAGGGTAAGTCCAAATTCTTGGCTTCCCATAGCATCTGATTAGCAATGGTGCAAACCAAATGCCGACCTATATATATCTTCGGTGTCATCTTGTCCATGATGGATCTTATTGGGGAACTTAAATGTCTTCTTTCTCAAACAGTATTTTCAGTGACTCTCATGCCAACTCTTCGTAGTCAGGTTTCCTTCTAGTGCTGTGGAGACCAAAATCCACTGATTGTGGTAATGTGAAAGTATCTAAATTAACTCAATGTATACATTACAAATACACATATCAACAAAACACAGAGCTGCCACATTCACACTAAGCAAAAACAATTGGTTCTTCTCTTGAAGTATGAAACGAAACCTTCATGCGAGTAAGAATAGTCCTTGAATAAATGTTCTATTCTTTATTGCACATGAGTAGACTCCATACGCTTTGCAGAGTATACTGACCTATAAAGACTAGCAGATCCACCTCTCAAGAATATTGTTGGTGAATCACTTACCTCAAAAGTTGAGCTTTTTTTTTTTTTTTGATAGATGAGCCTTTTTCGATAAATGAACCCAACCACCTGACGAAGGCTCTTGTAAGTCGAAACCGGTTGCAGGTTGGAGTCAACTCGTGTGTAACGAAGGGAATAGGATACCTATTGTGACTACTGGAGTCTACTAGTGTGTAATAAAGAATAGGACATTTATAGTCATTCAAGGACTATTCTTACTCACATGAAGGTTTTGTTTCATACTTCAAGAGAAGAACCAATTGTTTCTGCTTAATGTGAATGTGGCAGCTCTGTGTTTTGTTGATATGTGTATTTGTAATGTATACATTGAGTTAATTTAGATACTTTCACATTACCACAATCAGTGGATTTTGGTCTCCACAGTTTTAGGGGAACCCATTTTCCTTCTAGTGCTACCATTCCACACTTAGGTATCACTAAATCTTGTAAATGTGTCCAATAGTGTCATAGGACCTACTTTTCAACTTCTAAACGCAGTTTAGAAGTTCCATGGGCCATTGCACCATTCCTTAAGAGATAAGCCGTTGATAGGCACAGATCACTTTTATAATCTGACCACCTTTTCTACTTCTGACATCAGGGTAGAAGGAAGTGTCTATGCAGTGCATGATGTCCATTCTCTCTTTATTGTACCTTGACCTTGGCTAGATTTAGTACTGCTCGCTCAACTCGGAACAAAGGAGGGAGAGCACACTATAGGTTGGTTGATTCAATCAAGGAAACCATGGCCCAGAAATTGCAAGATCTGACTAGGGCACTTGATAACTGGGGCTCTTGTAGTTTCCTTGTTGCATAAGATCACCACAAGTTGATAGCAAACAAAAGAGCTCAACCTTTATCCAAATGTGATGAATTATAAGGAGTCTTGCTGGTGTGGGGAAGCCTGTTGATTCTATCCAATTTGGGCTGCCCCTCTTCCATGCTTACATGAAAAACCACTGATCTAGGGAAGATCAAAACATTTATTGCAAAGTATTTTGGGAGAATATTCAAGAAAGAAAATTCTTTTGTTATGTTGCTGTTATTTGATCCCTTTAGTATGATTCTCATTGGGAGATTGTTTCTTCTTTCTGAAAAACTCTGTGACAATCAGGAATCATGTAATTAAAACCAAGCTACCATTATGGTAAAAAATATCATGAACTGGCCATGTATGCCATCACTGAGGCAAGCAAGGTGAGGGCAATCATTCCTAATCACTAAGCATATATCAAGTGGTAAAGGCGATGTTATGATGTGGATCATTCAATCAAATATAGCTAAATCCTGACACGAAATTTGATTGCATGCTTTGGACAGGAGCCAAACATTTTGTTCATTTCAGGTAAGATATAAATCAAAATGAAGATGGTAGTCAAGAAATGCAATTGTGTTTAAGCAAACAGAAGCATACCAGTTTGGGAGAAATCACTTTCACATATCTCCAGTAGCACTATGGGACCACTTTGGTGATTCAAATTTCCGCAGTCAGGCTTCCACACTGCTTGACTTGACCCCACCTTCCTACCCATGTCCGACCTAAAGAGACCATATTTGTTATTTTTCTTTTTGTGCTACAACTTCATGATCGGACAGTTTTAACATTTCCAACAAATGGCAGTGTTGTTGCAATTGTATAATTACAGCATACTGGCAATTTCCCCATGGCAGCGCAATTGCACACACATGACAAAAGAGATTTTTTTTAAATGGAATATAGGAAAGCAATGTGACTTCGCCCTGCTTGGTGATAGGAAGAGGGAAAAGAAGAGAACTATGTCCATTTGAATATTCTGTACTCCGCCAGGATATTTAAAACGTAGAGGAATGAAATGATGGCACCCAAAACAATAGTTGGACAGCAGCAATATTGGAGCCATTGACAGTTGTTTCCATCAATGTAATGATACAATCTAATGATATTGGAAATGCAGTGCAACAATGGGAGAATCATGGCATGTGATAACGTAAGAACACAAATCTAATTCGGTACAATCAAGCAACAAACATATGATGAAGCCCTAAGACTTGGAAGGACAGTGATAAAGGAAATAGATGAGCTCAAGCGTAACAGCATGAAAGTCAGAGGCATCCATACTATAATAGCATGTAAAATCAGCACATTTGAGATATGATGCTAGAGGGAGAGTACGATAGATATCATGGACCACCAAAAGGACAGATTGATGAGTCCAAGACCAGATCAAGCCCAAATTCAAAAACAAACTAATTGTACAATAGAGTCTCGCTTATCCGACATAAATGGGCCGGCAGAATGTCAGCTAAACAAAAATGTTGGATAATACGGAGTCTCCTACTGTTACCAGTCCAACGTGGCACTAGACACCTATAATACTAACAACAGGGACCCAAAGGGAATAGAGAGAGAGTTGGGGAGCACTACTTTAATTGAAGGGGTAATGCTGGATTAAAAGGGGGGTGTTGGATTAGACTAGAATGGATTAGAATGTTGGATTAGAATGTTGGATAAGCTTAGGTTGGATAAGCGAGACTCTACTGTACTTTGAAGGAAAAAGATGCCAAAGAAGGTGAGAGCAGTCCAGATAGATATAGATCAATCTCATAATTAAGTCAGAGTATTAATTTTATGTTATTGTAATTCTATCGTACCCTCCCCACAACAAGGCATCTTATAATAAATCTAAAGTCAGATACAATTAAACATTGATAACAGCCCACAAAAAAGAACTAGGTATCTTTGTTTTTTGGCCTGTTTCTGGGGTGGGTTGGGATGCTGATTCAGAAAACTGCATTGGATAGACAACATTAGCTGTAATGTTTTAGATATGGTTGAATTTATAATAAAAAGTTTGTATCATAAAAATGTTCTTTTGGTATGAACAAATTTGATTTTCATATAGCACACTTTTTATTTTCATGTATGATACTTTTCCTTCATGCTTAAATTGTATTAATTTAAACACTACATTAAAATACTCTTTTTATGGGTGGGCAGAGTAAGAAGTGTTATATGGCATATGTTTTGTATCTCAAAAACTAGAGCGGATAGGAGGAAACTGGTGCCATTTTTTTTATTTATTTATTTTTTTAATCAGATAAAATACATCCAGACACAGGTCTAACATTTGAGGCACCAAAATGTGTATTGGCCAATGTTCTGGGTATTTTAACAGGAAACTAAATCAAATTGCTCTGTAACCATTTATAAGAAAGATAGATAGATAGATAGATAGATAGATAGATAGACAGACAGACAGACAGACAGACAGACAGACAGACAGACAGACAGACAGACAGAATCACTGGGATGCCTTGGGAAAATACTTAAGCATTAGTTAAAGCTCTTGAGTGCTTCCTTGTGGTCTCCAACTTGTTATTGCTTGGCTGGACGGAGAAAGGATCCTAAAGAATTTGATTATTTCAGAAAGAAGGTTCTCAGCCCTAATATGACTAAACAAAATACCTAGTGTTGCCAGAATGGCATTGTGTAATAGTAAGGGGGGGAAAGGCTGAAGCACAATGGAAAAACCACTGGAAAGTTATGGAATGAATATACATCCTTCCATGAATGAGGCAGTGTATGGATGCAATAAAAGCTTCCTATTTTCCTTGTAAATACTCTCAACATGGAAATAAACTGGATGGAGTCCTATTGTTTATTAAAGAGGAGATCTTCAAGATATCCCTGAGGATTTTAAGCAGAGCTGAAAGCTTTATTTCAAGTAGACATTGGACAACTAAAGAAGAAAATAAGTGAGAATCTTATAGAAGCAGTTTTTGTTTAACTGAAGGGAAGGCTCTGAGTGTGTCTCTCTGAGTAAATATTTGAGGTTATGGATTAACTAGTGTCCTCCAGGCTTGATGGCGGAAGAGTAGACAACTGATCCACCGGGAAAAATCAGTAAGTCTTTGGGAACACAGTGGTGGTTTTAGGCCTAATTCTCCTTTTTAAAATCCTTAATATAAATTGAATGCAGCCAAAAGTGAAGAGAAGTAATAAAAACAGTGAAAAATATAATGATGGGAGAGCTGGTAAGAGAATCCTCACTGTATTTAAAAGTATATCATTATGTAGTATATTGTACTTTGAGAATACAACTGCGCATGACAGTCAGTTGACCTCCAATGTCTATTGGGTGGGGTAAAAACTTATATAAATATGCAGCCATGTGCATATAACATAGCAACGGCACCAATAGCTAAACTCTACATGGGTTTCATCCATTTCATAAGCTCATGTAAACGAGCAGTTACAAATCTTGGAATGAGTTTCATTAAATCTTAATAAAAATAAACATTTTTAAAGGGTGTGAGAACATAAAATTTACTAATAACAAATTGTTCATTCTTGGTGGTTATTTCCTTAGGCGTACAACCTATTTTGCAATGTGGAGGCTAATTTCCCTTTTGGTGTTTTCATCTGCCTTCATAGCATCTAATGAGCATAAAACATCAGGTACAATCCTTATTTCTTGTATTACTTTTATCTAATAAATGCTATATCTTGTGAGTCATTGCATATTTAATGGTATAATATTAATATCATAAGTTCCGGGATCCAGTGTCTTTGTATATACATATTGAATAGATTATTCAGAAACTGCTGTTGGGAAGAGTTTTTATTGACATAATAGAGTTAAGAGAGTTGCTGCAACCCTCTCGTGTGAAAGGAGTGGAGTGCAATAATTATATTTATTTATCATTGCAAAATAATATTGAAGCTGCAAGGCCATTCAATGCTAATCAAGGTGGCCAGTTGCAACATTCACACTTGCCTACAACAGACAAGAGGTCTTTCCCCCACTGGACATTCCACAGATATATAAACCTCACTTGCTTAATTTCCAACAGTCTCACAACCTCTGAGGATGCCTGCCATAGATGTGAGTGAAATGTCAGGAGAGAATGCTTCTGAAACATGGCCATACAGCCTGGAAAACTCAGCAACCTATTTTAGATCAGATATACAGAACAGATATCTTCGACATTACCACTATGGCCCACAACAATAATAATCGCTTTGGCATTATAGCCATAGATGTGGGTGAAACGTCAGGAGAGAATGCTTCTGGAACATGGCCATACAGCCCAGAAAATTCACAGCAACCCAAAGCACAATAATGGAAGCGTAGAGTTGGAAGAGACCTCGTGGGCCATCGAGTCCAACCCACTGTCAAGAAGCAGAAAAATCACATTCGAAGCACCCCTGACAGATGGCCATCCAGCCTCTGCTTAAAAACCTCCAAGGAAGGAACCTCCACCACACTCTGAGGCAGAAAATTCCACTGCTTTATTTATCGTGTCATCAGCAACCATTGTATTACAATTCTAACAGAGCAAAACAAACACAGAGATTAAAAAGAAAAAAGAAAGAAAGAAAAAAAAACCACACAGATTTTGCAAATTTGGCATTTGGTTAAATGTCCTTTGACCAGTATCTGGCCACTTGGAGTGCCTCTGGGGTTGCCGCAAGAAGGTCCTCCATCGTGCATGTGGCAGGGCTCAGGTTGCATTGCAGCAGGTGGTCAGTGGTTTGCTCTTCTCCACACTCGCATGTCGTGGATTCAACTCTGTAGCCCCATTTCTTAAGATTGGCTCTGCATCTCGTGGTGCCAGAGCGCAGTCTGTTCAGCGCCTTCCAAGTCGCCCAGTCTTCTGTGAGTGCCCAGGGGGGAGTCTCTCATCTGGTATCACCCATGGATTGAGGTGCTGGGTTTGGGCCTGCCACTTTTGGACTCTCGCTTGCTGGGAGTGTTCCAGCGAGTGTCTCTGTAGATCTAAGAAAACTATGTCTTGATTTAAGTCGTTGACGTGCTGGCTGATACCCAAACGGGATGAGCTGGAGATGTCTCTGCCTTGGTCCTTTCACTATTGGCTGCTACTTCCCGGCGGATGTCAGGTGGTGCAATACCGGCTAAGCAGTGTAATTTCTCCAGTGGTGTGGGGCGCAGACACCCTGTGATAATGCGGCATGTCTCATTAAGAGCTACATCTACTGTTTTAGTGTGGTGAGATGTGTTCCACACTGGGCATGCATACTCAGCAGCAGAGTAGCATAGCGCAAGGGCAGATGTCTTCACTGTGTCTGGTTGTGATCCCCAGGTTGTGCCAGTCAGCTTTCGTATGATGTTGTTTCTAGCGCCCACTATTCCACTGCTGAACAGCTCTCACAGTCAGGAAGTTCTTCCTAATATTCAGGTGGAATCTCACAAAAAATGCTGTTTGTCGCGAGGCAAAATTCTTCCTTTGACATTTAACATAGCAACGGCACCAATAGCTAAACTCTACATGGGTTTTATCCATTTCAGAGTTCAGTGAGTCTAGGCATTTAGTCTTTTAAAACCTGTCCCCTGATCCTAGTGGCTCCATTTATACCCCATCTGAAAAAGGTCTTTGCGGGTAGCTTAGTGATACCTCTAATAGCCGATATGAATGTTTCCCCTTTCCCAAAAGTCTTTTACAGCAGCCAAGAGGCAAACCAAGTGCTAAAGATCCAGAAGCGAGCCAATACTTTCTTAGAAGAATTAAAGCCAGGCTCATTGGAGCGGGAATGCATGGAGGAACACTGTGATTTTGAGGAAGCCCGTGAGATATTTGAAAGTCATGAAGCAACTGTAAGTTATTGTGGAAGATGGGGGGGGGGGAGCGGAGTCACAGTTCATCCCAGTACATTCCCTACACTGGGAGCCCCCAGTGGCACAGTGGGTTAAAGCACTGTGCCGGCAGGACTGAAGACCGACAGGTCGCAGGTTCGAATCCAGGGAGAGGCGGATGAGCTCCCTCTATTAGCTCCAGCTCCTCATGCGGGGACATGAGAGAAGCCTCCCACAAAGATGATAAAACATCAATAATCATCCAGGCATCCCCTGGGCAACGTCCTTGCAAACGGCCAATTCTCTCACACGACAAAAAAAAATCCCTACATAAAGCAACTGGTCAAACATCTACTTCCAGCCTTTGGTTGGAAGAGTGGGGGACACCCTGCTGTAGATGGCTTGCATACTTTCTTACATGAACCCTTGTCCGATGGCCTTCCAAGTGTCTTGATGGTACATACGTGGATGATTGTGGAGCGCTTTTCTTGATCCGCATGTTTTTCAACAGTGAGGGCATTGGCTTCCAGATGAAAGGTGGTCCTGGTCAGGGTTGGCTTGATGCACCTCTCTCCTGGCACATTTCCCCTTTTCACCCTCCATTCATGCCTCTTTGAATTCCACATCACTGCTGGTCACAGCTGACCTCCAGTTTGAGCACTCAAGGGTCAGGACTTCCTGATGTCTATGCCACAGTTTTTAAGGGTATCTTTAAGCTCATCTTTAAATCCTGCTGTGGATGCCCCGCCATCTCTTAGAATCAGATTTCAATGGCAATGTATCTGTTGGTCTTCTCAAGGAGCATGCTGCTAAATTACCATCCAAAACTTGCCACCCAAGGAGTTTCTTGGATTACTTATTTGGATGGGATGGCCCTGAGGTTGGCTGGTTGATAACAGTATATAATGCACAATGGTTGAATGGCAATGACACATCCAACTAGTAACTCAATTCACAGTTATTGCCCATTAAGAATTTGTCTATTTTTAAATAAAATTCAAAGCTTACAATCTTCAAAGCTCTACATATCTCAAGACTAGACTTCCATATAAGCCTTATGAAACCTCTAAAAAAAGTTAGGGGGTGTCCTGCTCTTGGTTCCACAGCAGTCACGGGCATGTCTCCAGGGAAGTCCTTTCCTCAGAAGACGGCTGGTTCCTTGTCTGGTGGCCTTCCATAGACAGGCTATTTTTTTTCTCCAGACATATATTTGAAAACAGACTTTTTATAGCAAAGGTGGAAAAAGTGTACATGTTGCTTCCATGTAGACCCTGGAATCCGAAAGTCTGTTAGGAATTGCGTGAGTTGTAGTCCAAAACACCTGGAGGGCCAAAGTTTGCCCATGCCCATGCTAGGTATGTGTTATCAATGTATCATCTATATCTTATATTTGCTTTAGGACTTTGCTACCTTAGGAGTGTGCACTAGAACTCTGTAGTAGAGAAGGCCTTTTACAAAGTACAACTCCCATTATTCCATGGGTAAAGCCATGGCATTTAAAATGGCTTAAAAGTGCTATAACTTTTTAAAATGTTTTTTTTAATTTGAAATAATGTTTACCTTCTATACCCAAAAGTGGTTTGGCACATTGTGGGAAGAGTCTTGTTTTCAATTTTAACTAAGATTGTGTTTCTTCACAGCTAAGTTTTTGGACAAAATATTTTGGTAAGTAAATTTATGTTCTGTCATTCTTTGAAATGCTGATACTTCTATACCTTCTCTCTCCTTTCACCAATCAGATGTTGTGCTTATAGGGAAAAATTAACAGATTGTTACTATGATCTGTATTACACAGCGTAGGTAGGCAGAAGGTGTGCAAGCTGGCAAGGTCTTCTCCTACTTTTTAGCTATAGCAGCAACAAAATTATTTATTTATTTACTTACTTACTTACTTACTTAATGTATATTCCGCCTATCTCACCCCACAGGGGACTCAGGGCGGATTACAATTCACATATACATGGCAAACATCCAATGCCATTAGACATACAACATCTATAGACAGACACAGAGGCAATTTAACATTCCAGCTTTGCCGGCTTCATAAGAGTATGCTCGATTCTGGCCACAGAGGGAGCTTCCAGTTCACTGTCCACTTGTGTCACCGAGTCCTTTGATAGAGTACTTCCTCATTCTTCCGCATGCTCCTGGAAGGTTTTATGGAGTCATAAATTAGTTAAATTAGCCACCCTGCATATAGCAGTACCTAAATTTCCTACTTGAGAGATGCAACTATCTTTCGGGTTGCATAGGTTACAGCAAGCTAGACTATTAATGGTCGGCTGGCTTCGAACTCATAACCTCTTGGTCAGTAGTGATTTAATGCAGCTGGCTACCAACTAATGCGCCACAGCCCCTCTGCTACAACTTCCACAATCCACAGTACCATAAAGGAGTGCCAAGCGGCATTAATTCTACAGTATAGATGTACCTTTTGATTCCTGTAAATTTGATTCAAGGTTGCGTTCTAAAGTTCTTCATTATCTCAAGCAACTCTCTGTTTCAGGGCTACTACTTCTGTTAATTTTGAGTGCATGAAGGAATTTAAGTACAATAAGGAGTGTTTCCAAAAATTATGTTTGCTCCCAAATGCCCCCCCCCCCCAAAAAAAAGAAACTCCTCAGCAGCTAAGAGTACAAAGAAATTCTCTCCTGATGTTTCACCCACATCTATGACAGGCATCCTCTGAGGATGCCTGCCATAGATGTGGTGAAACATCAGGACAGAATCCTTCTGGAACATGGCCATCCAGCCCAGAAAACTCATAGCAACCTAATTATTCTGGCTATTAAAGCCTTCAACAACACAATGTGTAGTTAATTTTTCTCTTACACATATGGCAAATGATCTTGGCTAACTTGCAAATGTGTTTTCAGATGGAGACATGTGTGAATCCGTCCCATGTTCCAACGGAGTCTGTCAGGATGGCATCGGCCGATACGACTGCATTTGTAACAAAGGCTGGGAGGGGCAGCTGTGCCAAAATGGTAACGCTGTTCTCAATTATTGTGGTGCCATGGGGTGAGAGTTTTTAATGTCGCTTCAAGATCAGATGGAGACTACTTAAAGATAAACACTCTGCTCCATTTGTTTAAAGCTCTAGGAAAATTCAGCCATTGGAAAATATAATCAATTTCCATCATGAGAAGACTATGGGGATACAGGAGAGTTAACCTGTCCCTGGGAAATGGATTGGAGAGTGAGGAAACACCATACTGCTAACGCCAATAATAATTAACATCACACTGGCTCCAATCCAGCACTAGTAGCAAATGAACTTGTTCTCAGTCTTGGTTCTTCACTATCAGATCCTGCCCTATATCCCAGGATCTGATACCAGACTATTTTGATTTGAACTGGATTATATGAGTCTATGTTGTCAGATAATCTGTGATTAGATCCTGGGGTATAGATCCATTTAAGAGACATTGAGTAAATTTGTTGTACTCACTAAAATGCCAAAAGGATTATGATTGTTGAAGGCCATAGTGGTAATGTCAAATATTTCTGTTCTGTATATCTGATGTAAAACAGGTTGCAGTGAGGTTTCCGGGATGTATGGCCATGTTCCAGAAGCATTCTCTCCTTTGTCTCACCCTTGTCATTCCACAGATATATAAACCCCTTTTCCTAGTTCCAACAGACCTCACTACCTCTGAGGATGCTTGCCATAGATGCAGGTGAAACGTCAGGAGAGAATGCCTCTAGACCATGGCCATATAGCCCAAAAAAACCTACAACAACCCATTCTCTCTTGACATTTCGCTTAAATCTATGGCAGGCATCCTCAGAGGTTGTGAAGTCTGTTGGAAACTAGGCATGTGAATGTTGCAATTGGCCACCTTGATTAGCATTGAATAACTTTGTGGGGGCCAACTGAAACATTCACACTTGCCTCCAACAGGAAAGAGTTCTCTCTCCCACTCTCTCCCACTCCCAGTGACCTTACACATATATATAAACCTCACTTGCCTAGTTTCTAACAGACTTCACAACCTCTGAGGATGCCTGCCATAGATGTGGGTGAAATGTCAGGAGAGAATGCTTCTGGAACATGGCCAAACTCACTGCAACTCCTTGGTTCTGGCCATAAAAGCCTTTGACAACACATTGATCTAAAATGCACTGACAAACTATATTTGAAGACTTATATGATCTGTTATTCCATTTAGTGTGCATCTTGCATCCAACACAGAGAACCGAGTCATTTATGTGAGGCATTTTTTCAAACCAAATATGTTTGGGATTTTAGATTTTTTTTCCCCTAGGTTTTTCCTATATATACATAATGAGATATCTTAGAGATGAGACTTAAGCCTGAACATAAAATTAATGTTAAACCAGAAAACTAAAATCTCCTTATCTCAGCCACCCATGTGGACCATTTTGTATTTCAGAATTTGGAATCAAGGATGCTCAACAAGTAAGATGCCATAATAGACCTAAGGGACAAGTGGAGGAGTAAGGCAGGCCTTCAGATGCAGCCTTTTCTGCACAGCTTTAAAGAAGTCGTATGTTTTGAATGGATTTCTAGGGGATATTATTTTGTCTGTTTTCATTCTCTGTGCTATTTCTTTTGCTGCCCAGAGGTCATGTATGACAACTGTTCCATTGACAATGGGGGATGTGAACATTTTTGTAATGAGGTCCAAACAAGCAATGAGAAATACCGTTACTGTAGCTGCGCTTCAGGATACCGACGGTCTAATAATCATACCTCTTGTGAACCTGATGGTAAGAAAAGCAGGGCCAAAGGCTGAGCCAAACCTTGACTTTTATTTGAGGCTTTTCACAAAAGAAGTATCAACGTTATACTATAGTACAGTTACAGTGTTCCCTCGCTTATCGCAGGTGTTACGTTCCAGGACCACCTGCGAAAAGTGAAAATCCGCGAAGTAGGGATGCTATATATGTATATTGTGTTCCGAGGGTGAGGCAGAAATGAGGAGAGATTTAAAGGCACCACACACTTTTTTTTCTAGCTATCTCTGCTTTGCTTTGCAATCTCTCTTGATTGGCTGCCTCTCTCCCTTCCATACTCCATCGTTCGCAAAAAGCGAACCGCGAAGTAGAGAGGGAACACTGCACCACATTATGATTCTTTCCCTAAGGCAAACTTAAACAGTTCTGGCCTGACTTACCTGTCCGAACGCATCTCCCCTTATGAACCATCAAGGACCGGGGAGGCCCTGCTCTCAGTCCCGCCTTCGTCACAAGTATGTCTGGCGGGGACGAGAGACAGGGCCTTCTCAGCAGTGGCCCCTAGGCTATGGAATGCCCTCCCTGGGAAGAATAGATCTGCTCCCTCCCTCTCTCTTAACGTTTCGGAGGCAAGTTAAAACATGGCTATTGGAGCAAGTGTTTACAAATGCAGATAAATTGATATAGGAAATCTAACAACTTGACGATGAAACTGGACAATGCTTGATAATAAGGAGATGCTGGTGATGTTGTTTTTTATTGCCTTTGTTGTGTTTTATACTGTTTTAATGTTTTAATCTGTATTATGATATTATGTATACTGTTTTGTTGGAAACCGCCTTGAGTCGCCGATAGGCTGAGAAAGGCGGTATACAAATACAGTAAATAAATAAATGAATGAATGAATAATATAGGCTGAGAAAGCATGACTTGCCCGAAGTCACTCAGTGGGCCTCCATGGCCTCTAAGGTCAAACCCAGTGGTCTCAAAAGTCCTGGTACAATACTCAAACCACTGTACCACATTGGCTTCCTATAACATGACTACTTCTTTTAGAGGTGGCCTTCTCTCTTCATGATTATTTATTTATTATTTATTTACATTTCTATCCCACCTTTCACTACCTCTAAGGGGACCCAAGGCAGCTTACACTTAGGCAACTATTCGATGCCTTCAAAATCAATATATAATTAAAAACATTTATAAAATACATTAAAACATATAAAATATATTAAAACATATAAAACAATGCCTTCGCTGTTAACCACATTATTCAAAGTCATAGTCATTGCACATAATTCCATATTTATCTATTTCACAAGATCTATTTCAAAAGATCGTATTTATCTATTGCACAAAGGCTTGATCAAAAAGCCACATTTTTTACTTTCTTATACAAGTTCAGGTGGGGGGGGGCTTGTTTAATATCCCTAGGGAAGGAATTCCACAGCTGAGGGGCCACCACTGAGAAGGCCCTGTCTCTTGTTCCCACCAGTCACATAAAGGCCATGTTCTGTTGTCTTTGCCATGAAGCAGATATGTTAATACTATTAAGGACCCTAAATAGTGAAAATCTATCCTCTTAGGCCCCATCCCCACTTTCATATAAAATCCAGATTATCTGCTTTGAACTGGATTATATGACAGTATAGACTCATATCCAGTTCAAATTAGAGAATCTGAATTATATGACCCCAGGCTGGATCGACATTGCTCTATATCCCAGGATTATGATTTCAGATTATCTGATTTGAACTGGATTATATGAGTCTACACTGGGATAAGCAGATTATCTGGGATCAGGGCCAGTGTAGATCCAGCCTCTGATTCAACCCTTTCTGATATAGTGGTTTGAATGTTGGACTATGTTTCTGAAGACCGGAATTCAAATCCCTGCACTGAGCAACCTAAGGCAAGTCTTGCTCTCTCCGCCTCAGAGGAAGGCAAAGGCAAATACCCTCTGAACTAATTGTTTACAGGAGACTCCGTGATATAGTCACCATAATTCGGGAACAACTTGGAACAAAAACCAAAAGGGGTAAAAACATAACGTTTCCCCACTTGTAATGGTGTCTATCTAATAGTCACTCATTCATATTTATTTATATATGCCTGCTTTAAAAGACAATTTAATGGTATTCCTAAAAATTAACTATAAAAAATAACATTTGTGGGATTTCTCTAAACTTGAGCTGATAAAAAACTGGAAATAAGACAGGTTGCAGAATTCATGGCATTTTCAGCAGAAATCTAAATATAAAATAGTTTTGAATGATTTCATTAAAATTATGTAATGTTTATTCATATATTTGGAGAAATTTTATTTATTTGATGTAAACTGAAGAGCAGCTTAGTCTTTGGACCTATGAAGTACAATGTGGACTAGGATTCTGGGAGACCAGGGTTCAAATCCTCAGCCGTGGAAACTCACTGGGTGACCTTGGACAACGCTAAGAGGAAGGCAGTGGCAAAAACCCCTGAGTAAATATTGCAAAGAAAATCGTATGATAAGTCAAGTTGACTTGGAGACACATAACAACAATAACAAAAGTCATAGAAATGGAATAGACCTTGCTATATAAAAACTCATTGTGTTGCTGTGAGTTTTGCAGGCTGTTTGGTCATGTTCCAGAAGCATTATCTCCTGACATTTCACCCACATCTATGGCAGGCATCCTCAGAGTTTGTGAGCCAAGCTTTGAAGCTAAAAGGCTATTCAAAGCTAATCAAGGTGATCAACTGCAACATTCACACGTGCCTCAAACAGACAAGAGTTCTTTCTCCCACCTTGGATATTCCACAGATATATAAACCCCACTTGCATAGTCTTCAATAAACCTCACAACTTCTGAGCATGCCTGCCATAGATATGGGTGGTTGTTTTTTTTTTTCATGTCAGGAGCGACTTGAAAAACTGCAAGTCATTTCTAGTGTGAGGGAATTGGCTGTCTGCAAGGACATTGCCCAGGAGACGCCCGGATGTTTTGATGCTTTATCATCCTTGTGGGAGGTTTCTCTTATGTCCCCGCATAGGGAGCTGGGGCTGACAGAGGGAACTCATCCGCACTCTCCCCAGATTTGAACCTGACGTTCTTCAGTCCTGTCGACACAAGGGTTTAACCCACTGTGCCACCGGGGGGGGGGGGGGGGGGGGGGTCCTATAGATATGGATGAAATGTCAAGAGAGAATGCTTCTGGAACATAGCCATACAGTCCGGAAAACTCACAGCACCCCAGTGATTCCGGCCATGAAAACCTTTGACAACAAAACTTGTTGTCTTTTTTCTCCCTTCCAGTGGAGTTTCCTTGTGGAAGAGTTGTCGAAAATAAAGCAAAAATTGCTAAAGTAATTGGAGGTAGACCTGGAAGAAAAGGAGATAGCCCTTGGCAGGTAAAGACTTATGACACACTCACCCAAATTGAAGAATAACTTCCACTGAAATGATTTCCCTTTTGCCAAGTATTAGCAGAAAACAAATCCTTCTATTTCAGACTTTCATGGCTAAATAATATGCTGAAATATTCTAAGCAGAAGACAAGGTTGTTCACTTACAGATAAATACATTTGGTTTCACATACTGCAGTGCATACATACCAGTTATCCCCACTGATGAAGGAAGTCTGTATTTTTGTACATGTTTCCAGTGGAGTGACACAGCCAAGTTCAGAGCACAAAGCCCCAGGATTATTTTATAAGTATGGATCATGATGTCATCTGTGATCCCCTGTTCCTTTTTGGGTTTAGTTCCAATCCACACAGCAGCTACAGGGAAAACTGATCCCAGCAATAGTTGTAAGTTGTGCTTATTGTAATTCGAAGCATTTGGGGTTGACTTAGGGCACATTTACATGGGGAGGAACCTCCGGGGCTGGTGTGGACATGCCAGCCTGAATGTCAGCTTCATTGGAAGAGGGAAAGAGATATGACCCACCACTGAATTGCATGGGCACCCTTGCAAACATTAGCAATGGCACCCCAGGATGGCTAGAGCACTTTGTGGCTTCATGGCCACTACAACAACAGGACCACTAAGGTAGGTGCCATCCCCCTGTCCCTGTGACACGGAGCTTAAAGAAAGCAGAATGGACATGTAAACAATAGGGACAACTGTGATTCAGGATCAACCCAACCATTTACACATCCCTGAAGTGCAGAATTGCTCCAAAGAATTGGGAAAACTTCAGAACATCCCCCAACTTTGGCTAATGTGGGGGAAAGTGCCTTTAAGTGACCTTGTTCTGCATCATGTGGATGCCACTAGGCCAGTTCTCATCCACCTCACTTTATAATGCTCATTAACTTGAGGGAATAAAATTTTAAAAAACCACCCTATTCTTGTTGGCGTACAAAGCTGCTAGATCACTTTTTCTTGTTGTTAATATAGATCAAAACAGCTGCCTGCATTTTTGAACTCTACTTGGAGATTTCACTTCAAGGACTATATCACTGAGTATAATTACGATCTCTTAAGTCCCATGCTAATATAATGTAAACATCATCTATATCTTGCTGCCAGCTGCAAGACCATCTCAAAATTACAATTTGGTCCTGGATTCTGCACCCATGGATTCAATCCTCAATGACTTCCAAATATTCCAAAATAATATTCTTAAAAAAAACAAAGCTTGATTTTTTTCCATTTTATATAAGGGACATCATTGCACTGCATATACCATTACTGTATATAATGGTAATTGATTTTGGTATTTATAGGGAGTCATGGAATAAAATCCCAGCATATGCCCCCCCCCCTATATATATATATATATATATATATATATATATATATATATTGGAGCCCCGGGTGGCGCAGTGGATTAAACCACTGAGCCGCTGAGCTTGTGACCGAAAGGTCGCAGGTTTGAATCCGGAGAGCGGCATGAGCTTCCGCTATCAGCCCCAGCTTCTGCTAACCTAGCAGTTTGAAAATATGCGAATGTGAGTAGATCAATTGATACCGCTATGGCAAGAAGGTAATGGCGCTCCATGCAGTCATACTGGCCACATGACCTTGGAGGTGTCTACGAACAATGCCGGCTCTTCAGCTTAGAAATGGAGATGAGGACCGACCCCAGAGTCAGACACGACTAGATTTAATGTCAGGAGACAACCTTTACCTATACCTATACCTATACCTCTCTCTATATATATACACACACACACACACATCTATCTATCTATCTATCTATCTATCTATCTATCTATCTATCTATCTATCTATCTATCGTGTCAAAAACATTGCATAGAATGTTGTAAAGCAATGCTTTTGGGTTGGAAAGATTAGCCGTTTACAAGAACGTTGTCTAGGTGACGCCCAACTGTATTTACTCAGTCTTCGAGGAGGCTCTTTCCGTGCCCCCCCCCCCCCAAAGAATATGCCTAGATACTATACTTACATACAATGGAGTTTTCAGCATAGTTCCATGTTTTTCAAATGCTTCTGCTCCATATTAATATCAATCATCTTAACAATGGGTTTGGGAATCTGTAACCCGTCAGTTCCCCTCTATTTGAACCCATGTGGGCAATAGGAATATGGTGGAAACACTATTTGGATCAAAGTTTAAATAAGTTAACACAACAGCATACTGATTGTTGTAAGAAACAAAATAGGACATTGCCCAAAGACTTCTTTTAGAATGAGCAGACCTTGACTGAAATATAAATCAAAGCAGAGACATTGTATTGGAAAGTCCATAATCTGTTGTAAATTCCAGTGCACCATAACCTTATTGCAAAGGTAAAATGATGTCACTTCTGTTTAGCAAATGTGAATCTCTATGAACATAGAGACCACCTGAAAACCACTAGTCAAAAGAATGGTGTGACCTTGTTAGAAGTCAAACCTTAAAACAAGTGATATTCGTAAAGTATTACTGTAATAGTACACAGGTAGCTCAGCTGTTAAACTGAGGGATCATGTCTTTAAACGCCCAAGGATATAGACAGGCCACTACAAAAATATATCTGGTTAGGGGAGAATGGTTGTTTGAAGTAGAATTTGGAGTTGTAATTTGCTATTGCCCAAAAAGATATACACTCCGTTAAAAGCCTCTTATTTAAAACATGTACTCAAGAGACAAAACAAAGTACTGTATATACTCGAGTATAAGCCTAGTTTTTCAGATATTTTTAAGCTGAAAAAGTCTCTCTCGGCTTATACTCGAGTCAAGGTTATTTATTATTTTACTCTGTTATAAATGCATAATAAATGTATTATTATTTTTAATATCCATGTGTTATTGTAATAATTTTATGCTTATGTTCTTTTGTTAATTTTATGTTATGCTGTTTACTTTGTATGTTTTGGTGATGTTATTTGGAAACTGCTCTGAGTCCCTCTCGGGGAGACAGAGCGTATATAAATAAAGTTTTATTAATAATAATATTACATTTATTATTTTACTCTATTATTATTATTATTATTATTATTTCATTACCATTATTTTACTTGATTATTATAATTATTATCACCTTTATTGGAAGGTAATAATCCTATTTGGAAGGATACGAAAGCAAATTTACATTTAAGAAGGTCAGAATGGTTTAATCAGAGTTGAGCAATCTTATCTTAAATGACAGTTTTATGTAAATATTCAAAAACATTTAACCTACTGATGGCTCAATGAATGGAATTTTATAGGTATCTATTTTTATTTTGAAATTTACCAATAGTTGTTTCCCACCCTCGGCTTATGCTCGAGTCAATCCATTTTCCCAGTTTTTTGTGGTAAAATTAGGTGGCTCGGCTTATATTCGGGTCGGCGTATACTTGAGTATATACGGTAGTCTTCTTTGAAAAATAACATATCTTGTTTACTAACTTGTTGGTTCATATTCACCATACAGGGATATTGTCTTGAAATGTCTTTAAGCATATCTGTACTTACTAAAATCCTTAAGCACACACATCCACCTCCAAAGACAACCAAAGTTATCTCATTGAAGTCCATAAGCATACATCTACCTTATTGAAGCCCAAAAGCAAACTGAACACATGCTCAGTAAAATCACATCTATATCACCTCCTAAGAGACAAGTCAAACTGGCAAATCAACATACACATAGAATGCAGGCTAACAACTGTCAGTGGCATAGGCCGCACAGCAAGGCGAGGAACACGATCATCACAGTCGCCTTTAGGCTATAAACTACTTTATTTACAGCTATACACAGTAGCACATCGTAAAACTGCTTCCTCTCTGTCCGGTAGCTACTTCGCGAACACAAAGAACATACTGTTATCAGTACTAGTCCACACCTCCTGCATTCCAGAGTGACATATGACATAGGACATACGATGCTGCGTCCATTGCTCTATACACTTTGATTTATGACCTCTCTAGGAATGCCATTCCCTCCATGGTACAGTTAACTCTTTCCACACAGGAAATACTCTTAGCACATAGCATTGCATTTTAAACATACAATTATATACATTAACAAACAGTTAGTGGAGGCTTGGAAGGTTGCTATTTCCAACACATTGGACATTCAGTTCAGAGATCTTGAACATTCTGGCCAATATTGAATAAATATATTTCGTTTTGCAGAAAGAGCTTTCAGAGCATAAAAAGAATGCAATTTCTACCACCATCAAGAGTTCCTGTGGCCCTACTGTGGGAAGCAGGGTTCTCAGAATATTCTTTCCAATGCCCCCCTTTAAAATAAATATCATTTGATACTGATCAGCAACTAAGGCTGTATCAGATGCTGGTTGTAGACAAGCAACACTGAACGTACACTGTGAATGATATGTAAATAAAGTCCGAAACCTTCTTCCTTTCCATTGTAGGTTATGCTGAGTGACAGTAGAGGCGAGTTTAAGTGTGGTGGTGTTCTCATAAACCCTGCCTGGGTTCTGACAGCTGCTCATTGTGTGGCAAGAGAACAGAGAATCAGGCTGAAATTTGGTAAGAAAATCAACACGACTGCATTCCTTCTTAATACCTTGCACCTCAGCCAGTGCCCTTAATTGCCAGGATAAGGCAGGTATTCTGTTGTTATGCCTACTATCCAATGGTCTATCCAACTATCCAAGTATTTCTGAGCTGGGATACAATAGAAACATCAGCAGGGAAGATCTGGCGTAAGTTAATTTAAGTATGAGCAATTTTGCGAGAATGTTTTCCTTCACTGTAAGGCATGCAAATACTGCAATAATATTGAGAGACCTTCCTTATGGAGATAGTTTATGCCTTACACATCTGTATACGCATTCAAAGTTTTGTTCTGATATTTCCAAAGAAGGCATAAGGTCAACCAATAATCTGATTCCTGAATTCCATGAATCTTTAAATTCCATCTGTGATTTCCATTTTCCAGATCATTCATTTTAAGATGTTGTTTTGTTATTTAAGATGTCTGCTTGATTCTCATGTCTAGGACTTTACTTGTTGCTTAATTTATTTATGCTGGACAGCTTTGTCGTCAGAGAAGAAACTGATTCTTGTAATGGTTTACTGTTAGAAGAATCCGTTTCTTCTCTGACTACAAAGAAGTGGACCATTATTTAGTAAGGACCTGGTGATGTCCTTGAACCCAGGCTATCAGATCCCTAATTTTATTGGGTTGTTTCTTCAGTGGCTGCTGTTGTGAAATCTTACCTTCTATTAGTTTTGCTGATTTTGCTGCTATTGTCGAAGGCTTTCATGGCCGGAATCACAGGGTTGCTGTATGTTTTTCGGGCTATATGGCCATGTTCCAGAAGTATTCTCTCCTAACATTTTGCCTGCATCTATGGTGATCTCACAACCTCTGGTGACTTCACAGCCTCTGAGGATGCCTGCCATAGATGCAGGTGAAATGTGAGGGAAGAATGCTTCTGGAACATGGCCATACAACCGGAAAAACTTACAACAACCCTTTGCTGCTATTGTTTAACAATTTTAGATGAAGATGGGTTGTCTTTTCTTCCAAAATAACCAGCAGGATTTTTTTTCTTTGGAAAAAGAAAGTACACTTTACCAGAAAAAAAATGCAGAATGGTATGTTGGACCATGCAAGAAATCATTTTGTGTGTGTCAGCTGTAAAATAAGAGGCACAAACTGATTGGTCAGACTACACCCAAAGAGCTGGTTGAGCCTGAGACTTTTGGATTTGTTACATTTTTATTCAGGCTTAAGCTATTCAGTGCTTGCAGAGAGAGAAGCAGAGAGAGACAGAGTTTGAAGTGTACTCTTGTATCATGAGCTGCTGAAGGAGTTTATCCACATGAACAAAGAAAGACAATAGTAAATCCCTCATAAAAGGACATTATGTGAGTCAATGCAACTGATCACATGATTGTAAATATGTTTTTCTGAATTTCGAAGAGTAAACTGCTTGTTCTTTACTGTTCATCTGCATGGCATATTTTCTTTCTCCAGCAAGGCAGTGTGTGGGCTGATCAAACGTTAATTACACGTGGTTTATTTTACATTATACCACATAATTTAGCATATTTGGATACTGGTTTTCACTTAATGTTTTATGCCTGGATACAGGAACTCTCAATTCAGGTAACCATGCCTGTTGAATAACTCCAACCATCCCTATAAGTAGTTATTTCCAATATTTCACCTCCAAGCTTTGCATAAGGCAGGCCTGCACAACTTGCGGCCCTCCAGGTGTTTGAGCCTTCAAATCCCAGAAACTTTAACCAGATGCTCCAATGGCCAGGAATTCTGAAGTCCAAAACACCTGAAGGGCCGCAGGTTGTGCAGGCCTGGTTTAAGGGTTCTTTTAATTTTTTTGAGAGAAGTGAGTTTGGCTTAGATAATAGGAGTCAATACCCTTTCCCTGTTTTTTTCCCTTGTCCTCACAGGTAAATATCATCGTCGGAAACCAGATGATAGTGAGCGGATCATTGATGTTGACAAGCGATTGCTGCATGAAAATTATTCTGTGGCCACCTCTGACAATGACATTGCCCTGTTGCACTTAGCGCACCCCGTCATTGTCAGCAAGTACATTGTGCCCATTTGCCTGCCTTCCAAGAACCTGGCAGAACAGGAGTTAATGAAAGAAGGGGCGCAAACCGTGGTGACAGGATGGGGCAGCCAGAGCACAGACACCAGCAAGAATTACTCCCATGTTCTTCATTATATCGAAATCCCTTTGGCATCACGGAATGACTGTGTGAATGCTATGTCGAATCATGTCTCTGAGAACATGCTCTGTGCAGGAAAACCGGGAGATACACGGGATTCTTGCCATGCAGACAGCGGTGGGCCCATGGTCACAAAGTTCGGGAATACCTGGTTCTTAATTGGACTCGTGAGTTGGGGAGAGGGCTGTGGGAATCCTGAAAACTTTGGAATCTATACTAAAGTCAGCTCCTATCTTGACTGGATCAGCCAGCAAATAAAAACATAAGATTTTTCTATAGGACATGAAAGAACAAATAGAAAAATAGGGGTTTGTTTACCAAACAACAAAACAGGTATTGAGTGTCCAATAAATACAAAATATACAAAATGAGTATGTGCTGTGTGTTCTGTTTTTATAAATCAGTTTCCCCACCTTGTACACAGAGGTACCTTGAAAGAAGATGACAAATCATGAAGGAAATCCTATATGCTTCCTTCTTCCCCTGATTTTTGAATTAAGCAAACTTTGATCTGTTGCACCAAAACTTTTATTTTGATAAGAAAGTGTTTATTCTCAGAGCTAGGAAGTAACTAACAGTAAGCAGTGTTGCTGAATAAGTTCCTGAAGGAGTGGCTGCTAATAAACATCAAGGGTAATGTAATGAGCAAGAGAAAAAATATTTTTAATGGTTGTTGTTTTTTTTGTCATGTCAGGAGCTACTTGAGAAACTGCAAGTCACTTCTGGTGTGAGAGAACTGGCCGTCTACAAGGACGTTGCCCAGGGGATGCCTAGATGATTTGATGTTTTTATCATCCTTGTGGGAGGCTTCTCTCATGTCCCCATATGAGGAGCTGGAGCTGATAGAGGGAGCTCATCCGTCTCTTCCCGGATTCGAACCTGCGACCTGTCGGTCTTCAGTCCTGCCGGCACAGGGGTTTAACCCACTGCGCCACCGGGGGCTCCTATTTTTAATGTAATATGTAATGATTTCTAGTTACCAGTATATTAATAAGTTCTGTTCACTACTGCCAATGAAGAGTGAGCGTGAGAAAAAGGAGATGAGTAAAATTCATAGTAGTACCGTGTTTCCTCGAAAATAAGACATACTCATAAAATAATCCACAGCAGGATTTCTAAGCATTTGTGCAATATAAGCCATACCTTGAAAATAAGACATAGTGATGATGACGAGTGCGCCCCAGGCCCCTGCTTTCAAATCAATCTGACCTGCAGCAGGGTTCCGCAGTTCCAGGATGCCAGGCTGGGCCAAAACTGATGAAATGTGCCCCAGCAGCAGCCTCAACCAGGTACTCTTCGCAGCCATATGCTCTCTCCTTTCTCTCCTTTTACTAGCCCAAACTATGTAACCAATCCCCCAATAAAGGCAAATCAAATTGTAACATTAACCTCTCCAGCCTGATACTTTGTGTCCTTTTCCTGACTGAAACTGACTCTATGCATGAAAGCAACCTTTTCTGGGCCGCGGGAGATTGCAGGCCTGCCCGGGATGCCTCCCTGGCATCCCGGGGAGGCCGAAACTGCACTTCTTCAAACCGCAGATACTGAAACCCCTTGGGCCCTCGTATCCGCAAGTTGATCAATAGCCTCCATTTTGAATTCATTTTTCCCCAGCAAATTTCTAGCCCTATCTGCCATCTCGCTTTCTGCATTCATGGCTCCTGCACTCAGGAACGAATAGTTGGTTTTTAAGTATTATTTAAAAAGGAACAGCTGATTGTCAAACTCCAGCCTGCTGCTGCGCTGCCGATGCCAATGCCTTCCCTCCATCCTGCGGAGGCCCCCAGCCCCTAGGGACCTGATGAGGACACCCCATAGGACTTCCGGGGAGTCGGCCACCTAGCCCCAGCTCCTGGAGGGTGTTATAGTTTTCCAAAGACAGAGCACAGAGATCAATCCCAACGCTGCAGGGCTCTATGGACTGACTCAATGGAACTCTCTGAGCTTTCTTTTTTTACAAACTTTGTGCCTCAAATCATCATTATGGACCCTTTTATTCCCCACCAAGGACATACCTTTATGAACTTTCCCTTTATGGACTATGGACTTATGATATATTTTCATGATTTTCCTTGTGGCTGAGGTTTCCCTCTTGACCTTTTTCTCCCCTTTCCCCATGATGAAATCCCACCAGGAAGTGCCCCTGATACTGAAAGGGTGCAGAGCCAAAATCAATCACAAAGAACTCTTATCAACAAATCTTTTGCATGGACAGAAACAAAGGCGACATCCTTGCCTTTGGAGTTTTGCCCAGCAGGGAGGTCGCCCCTTGGCAGACTTTTGATTACTTTTCTAATTGGAGATGGGGGGGCGCCTTCAAAAAGCATCCCCCTTTTCACCCTGTTGCCCCATTCAATCATTCATCAAAAACTTCACCCAGTATTGCCCCTTTTGTCCTTTTGCTTTGCCGCCACAGAAAGCCCGGATTTTCCTGTTTGTATTCAATTATCACCATTCATGAATCAATATAACTGCTTGATTAGAAGGCCCTTCCTGGGACTCATTAAGGCACTGGTATTTCCTTATTTCATAATCCATTCAAGCATCCATTGTTTTTCCCTCGTCCCACCTCCCTCCCTCCTGATTCGTTGAGACGCCAGAGTGGTAGAAGCCTTTTCATTGGCCCTGATGCACTGCAGTGGCTCCCTGATCGGTCCAGATGCACCGGGGGTGGACGAGCCCCCTCCCAGCTGTTGGCACATCAGCCAATCATCATGAAGACCGGCTGGGGGGCGGGTGCAGGAAATTTGAACCACACAACTCTGTATTTCTATAAAAATGCCATTTATTTCTGTAACCACATGCTCTGCTTGGCGAATGATTGCTGCATTGCATCCTTTTCAGCTAAATTGCAAATAAACATCTCGGCGGCGCTTCTTCAACCTTGGTGAGACTTTTTCTGGGTAATTGGGAAAATAAATATTGCTTAAAATCAGGCTTCTCTTGGCTCGCCAAGGTAGCGTTCCCTCTTTGGTGGGTCCGCAGAGTCTCTCCTCCTGGGGCACACCCTCCTAAAGTTCCTATTGACTTCAATGATAGGCATGGCTATGCAGCATGCCAGCGTAGAGCAGTAAAGAAGATGGGCAGCCCTTCTCATCTGCCCCATTGTGACAGCTGCTATCTCGAAGGTGACCGGAGAGGTGCGGGCAGACCCATCAACAAGGTCAGGTCCTGGTTGTTCTATGTGTGCTGCAAGCTGAGACACAGAAGGAGACATAGAAAATGAAAGTAAAAGTCTCCTCAGAGAAGTGGGGAGCAGGATCCTCTACTTTAGGTATTGTGTGTCCTCAGGGGGAAGAAGTAAAGCTGTGGCTGTCATTTTACTCAGCACTGTGGGTCCCTCTCATCCAGCATGAAACAGCAACAGTTCAGGTTTTGAGAGTAATGATGATGTTGCAGAAGACAACTTAACTATATTTGAATAAATGTAGATTGTTGTACCATAATTAATAAAAAATAAGACATCCCCTGAAAATACGTCATAGTGAGTCTTCTTGAGGAAAAATAAATATAAAACAGTGTTATTTTTGGGAAAACACGGTAGTAGCAGTAGTCAAAAGTAAATCAGCAACTTTGGCCATGGAGAACAAAACGATTTTTGTTTTCTGGAATATTTTTTTTTCTTGCATGTAGAATTTGGTGTTAAAAGTCCCCAGTGCCTTCAAGGGAGTGTAAGCTGTGTAAGTGACAAAGAGAATATAAATCCAAGCATTTCAACAAACTGTCCCACAAATGTATGAATCGATATAAATAAAAATGTAAATGTCCATTTGTTCATGGCCTTGAATCTCCCAAAATACTTCACCAATTGCTTTGAAATTTTCACACAACGTAGCATTTGAGCAGGCAAATGTTTTTTATGTTTTCACATACCTACAATTATATAGATGCCACACCTGAGACAGGTAAAAATATGTTTTGCTTCAATAACAGCGCCATCTGCTGGACGTCCAAGCAACACACGCAGCGCAAAGCAACCCCGTCAGGTCCAAAGCTGCCATTTGGGATCCGCAACCTGGTCACCCCACAATGAACCTGCCTGACTGCCTCTGGAGCAGAACCAGGAAAAGAAGAGCAGGAAATATTATTATTATTATTATATAGACCAGTATAATTATTATCATAATTACTATATCGACCAGTATTATTATTACATAGATTATTATTGTTATTACTATTATAATATAGACCAAGATTATTATTATTTACTTATTATTATTATTATTATATAGACCAGAATTATTGTTGTTGTTGTTGTTGTTGTTATATAGACAATTATCTATATAAATAAAACTGTAAATGTTCGCTCAAAATCTTAAATCTCCCAAAATTAGAAACCTGCTCTATCTCTTTTCTTTCTTTTGCATTTAACCAGACCGGGCCACAGCAAAGCATGGCTAGGGACAGCTAGTGGTATATAAGAAGTGTGCCACAATTACCATAATGGCATTAAAAGTTAGTTTAGCTCTTAAATGAAGCATGTTTTTCTATGACTGGGACATTTACTGCCTTGTCCCCCCCTTGGCCTCTTGGTCAATATTTGTGGTGGATTAATCATCAACAAATAAATTCCCATTGCTTTCTTTGGTGTTCATCTAAACAGCACTTTGTCCTTCCTAATCAGGTAAGAGAACACAGTATTTTGAACCTGCAACGTATGGACAGCCATTTCCTTTAGGTAAAGATAAATACTTTAACTCTTTATGTTGCACATTTTCTTCTTTTAAGTCCTCGTGCTGTTTCACATGTGATGAGGTTTCAGCTGTTGAATGCCCTTAGACTGTAAACATAGGAAGTACAGGTGTTACTTGATGAGTAGTATTTGCCTCAATCATAAATTCTGGCAAAGAAAATGGACAGTTTAATCTGAGTCGATGCTTTCTTCCACAGAATACAAATAGGTGAATCAAAGAAATAGCCTCATTTTTTTCTAAGAGCATCAACTTGCACCTAGCACAGAAACTCTCTTTCCCTATTTGCATTTAGACTGGTTATTCTAATTTTTTTTTGTGTCAGGAGCAACTTGAGAAACTGCAAGTTGCTTATGGTGTGAGAGAATTGGCTGTCTGCAAGGACGTTGCCCAAATGTTTTTGATGTTTTACCATCCTTGTGGGAGGCTTCTCTCATGTCCCTGCATGGGAAGCTGGAGCTGACAGAGTGAGTTCATCTGTGCTCTCCCCAGATTCAAACCTAACCTGTCAGTTTTCAGTCCTGCCAGCACAAGGGTTTAACCCATTGTGCCACCGGGGGCTCCAGGTATTATAATAATTGACCTTAGGATGCAGATTCTATCAAACTTAACATATACGGTGTTCCCCAACTTATCGCTGGTGTTATGTTCCAGGACCACCCGCAAAAAGTGAAAATCCGCAAAGCAGGGACGTTTTATACTTACAAACACACACACACACACACACACACACACACACAAGGCCGTGATTTATATGCTGTTTTGTATCTCCTCTCTCTATCTCTTTTTATTATTGGCTGCCTCTCTCCTAAGGGGGAGGGTGAAACCCCCTTCCATACTTCCATCATTGTCGGGAGGCAAAAACCTGCGAAACAGCGAGTCCACGAAAAGCGAGGGAACACTGTATATATTGCTATCATTATAGAGTATATGAATACAAGGGCATTTAAGTGGCTTAGATTCGAAGTCATTTAAATGTGATAGTTGTGAAATAGACATGATTTTCTATTCATTTAATTTTAATAAAAGGTTTCCCCTCTCTCCTCTCCATCACCCCTTAAGCAGTGGGTCTCAACCTGGGGTCCCCAGATGTTTTTGGCCTACAACTCCCAGAACTCCTAACAGCTGGTAAATTAGCTGGGGTTTCTGGGAGTTGTAGGTCAAAAACATCTGGGGACCCCAGGTTGAGAACCACTGCCTTAAGGGATATACGCTTCTCTTCTATACAAATAGGGACTTTCTTTTATGTTTGGACCATAACTGTTTTTGCTCCCCACTTTGTAGGTTATTTTCTTCAAACTAAAATATCCTGTCCATTTTGGCTGTACAATGGCTAGAACTTCTTTGGGTGCAATGCTGCTATTATTCACCTGTTCCTTCTACAGCAATCTACACTATTCATTATCAGGTATGTAAATGACACCTAAGTTAGACCCATTGAATCAATGGGATTTACGTATTTATTGGCTTCAAAATTAATTGAACTCCAGTTGGGAGTAACCAACAGGATCTCATCCTTTAAAAAGAATGGGACAGTATTTAATATTCAGAAATAAACCCAATATCAGCAAAGTTTGAATTTTAGCATAGGATAAATTATAGCCGAAATCAATGCTGTGGCTTTAATTTTACCCAGATACTTATTGGTTATAGAGCTGTGTTGGAATTACAATCAAGTGAGTGCAATTAAT